GGAAGTACCATTTTCTTCTGCACTGGAGGCATTACAAGGAAGGATGTCGCTCATCGGCAAGGCGAAAATGAAGGCGGGTGAGTGAATGGTGATCGCGTTTGAGCTTCCACCTGAGCTACTTCAGAGTCCAGACCTGAAAACGTGGGACAAGTTACCTCTACCGTACAGTGGGTATGTCGAGGTAACCGGAGACACTTCGGCAAGAAGTTTGAAGGCGGCAAGCGGTAAGGTGACGGGGGGGAAGGAGGATGATGGCATGAGACGATTTCGACGTGGCCTCCTCCTCCTCTCGCCTTGCGGTCGGTTGATGGTGGTATCGTCTGAGAAAGACTGGGTGGGTGGTAAACGACTCGTGGAAGGGCAAAACGGGAAGAGATGGGTATGATTGTGGTTTCAAGGAGCAAGGAATGGTTGCGGTGGTGTTGCGCGGAATCTGTTCTTTTGTGTACAGTGGAGAAAGAACTTGCTTGGTTGTTTAGCGGTAGGATGAAAGCGTTTGGAGAGGCGAAGGTTACTCGGCGAACTTTCTTGGATAGGAAGAGGAAGGAGAAGGAAAAAGAAATTCAGAGGACGAGAATTTTGACCGACAAAAAAAAGTATAAGTATGAGGGAGTCACCGAGTTGGAAGAAGGAAAAGATCTAGAAAAAGAGCATCGAGAGTCTTATGCCCTCATCTGCATGATATATCCATAGCCTTCTACTACAAGCACCACTCAACCACTTCTCTAACATACTTCGCAACTCTATCACCATGTCGTCTTACGATAACGTACGTTGCCTATCTCCTTTTACCCAATCCTCTAATCTTCATGATCATTCACAAAAGACAAATTTTTGCTAAGTCTCACATCTGTCTTCTCCAACACTCACAGACTCGCGAGGAGACATTCGTGAGGCCATCATCTCATATCCTTTCATCCTCAGCATCCTTATCCTTACCATTTTCATGGTCCATCCCACTCCAATTCCACACCAACCCTCACCAGTTTTTCTACACAGAACCTCCAGCCCAACCACAGTCATGTCATCATCTACCGCACCAGACACCCCTTGCTAACAGCTCCTGCCCCTTACTTTTGCGACCAGACCTCCGGCCAAGACACCACCACGGGCGGCACCACCTTCCCAGGTGACGAGCAAGTCTCCAAAGATCAGACCGGGGCCACCGATTCCAAGAAGGACGAGTCTAAAGACTCTAGTTTCAAGGATGAGTCCGCGAAGGACCAGAAGCCCGAGGAGACGGAGGCTTCGACTACTACGGCTTACTCCAAGAAGAAGTACCAGTCTGGTTAAGACTGCGGTCTATGAAGAGAGAAGGGGGGGTAGTTGAATGGGGGTTGGTATGTTTACATCAACGTTGATCACCTATGTCGATGGTTAGGGTCATGACTGACTGACTGACTGACTAACTGACTGACCAATGATGCTGATCTTCCATCCAGATGGCTATCGCAGCCACAACGTACCATGTAGACATGGATACCGATACCCTGTGATTGATGGTGGAGGGTTTGAGATTGGATGGATGTGTTGATCAGAGCGGTGTGAACGTATACCCAACCGAGACAAGATCAGACGAACAACACTTGGAAGGCGGGAACGATGAACAAAGGAAAGGGAGAAAGAGAGAAAGGGATTACGATCGTTTGCGACCGTGTGTGGGTTTAACTTCGAACTATCTGTTTGGCTAGCTTGATGTTGTTGGGAAAGATAGGTACCTCGCCGGTGCTTGAGTGAGGAATCTTGATCAAATAGACAGACGACTTTGAGCTGGCTGGTGGGCATTGAATAGATCACCATGGTTGCTATCCCCTGATCTGCTACTAAGGTTGGCCGTGGAGCTTTAAACCTCTTCCCTACGTTATGCACTGATATGCTTGGTTCACTGTACTGTGATCAAGGATGCCCTGATGTCGGTGAGTGCTTGCCTGGCGAATGGGCTTGCCGTCATATATCAGCTCGCGAAAATGAGCTTTAGTTCGGTAGGCACACCGCAGGGCTAAAGGAGTAGAAGCGCACGTATGCCTGATGTATGCAGTAGACCAACACCTTTAACCCTGTCAAGTTCGACCTTGGACGGTGTTCCCTTTCCAATGGGGGTATAATCATAAAACGCTAAACTATGCTCATGTATGATGCTATGCACAACCCGCCTGTATGTAAGTACAAGCCTCACAGCGGCCTTCTCCGCTAGACTCCCATTTATCGACCTCATCCCCAACCTTCGTCACAGCAAGAAATCGAGGTGTACACAAGAGGTCATCTTGGGTAATACCATCCTCGATACAACCATTTTTCTCTCTCTCTTTCTCTCTCTATCCCTCCCCCCCCTTCTTCTCCCCAAAATACCTTTGTTATCCCTCTACTGCTTCTTGCCAAACGACTTCTGCCTCTCGGCATAGTCCTTGACAATAAGGGAGCAGTTCGCCTCCGCACACAGCCTCTTCCTCCTCTGTACCGGCAACTTGCTCGCAAACTCGAGACCGCTCGCCCTCTCGACCGCCTCCAGGGGCACCTCAAAGTCCTGCAGCGGCTTATCGTTGGGGATCTTGGCGTTGGGCAACACGAAGGCTCCTAGCGCAACATTTCCTCCCTTCTTGCCGTCCTCGGCAAAGATGACCTTGTAAAAGTGCGTCGGCACCGCCACGTTAGGGGGCTGCCCGATCATCTCGTACTTGACGTACCACTTGTTGTCGCTGGGGTCGCGCTTGGGCAGGTACAGAGGTCCGGTGACGATGCGGACGGAAGGGTACTGCTTCGTCAAGCGACGGCAGAAATCCTCAAAGTGCGCCCAGTAGTCGCGGTTGAAACCCTCGCCCACCTGCGGGCACATGTTGGACAGGTAAAAGGTGTCGTCCATGGCGGCTTGCGACCACTTGCAGTCGGCCGCGGGAACCTGGTGCCCGCGATCGAAGCCGGAGCGGAAGTAGTCCTTGAGCTTGCCGCGGAACTTTTCGGGGATCGCCTCGTCTTCGACGAAAGTAGACTTCTTGCGGTCGCCTTCGGAGATGGACAGGGACTCGGGCGTGATGTGCTCCACCGTCCAGTGCGGGTTCTTGGTGCGGCGGTCGTACGAGGACACAAAGCCTTGGCGGGTCGCGAGGTCAGCGACGGGGCCCGGGAAGCCGTACTCGAAGAAGCCCGAGGGGTCGACGGGTTTATAGCCGCCGGCGAGAGCGGGCGCGCTGAAGACCTGGCTGGCGGGGACCGGACCAGGCTTAGAAGGGGCAGCGGGAACCGGAGCGTTCAGCGAGGTGGTGTCGACCTTCTTGTCGCTCTTGAGGGAGAGCATGGCGGCAGTGGCCGCGGCACCACCGGCGGCGCTTACGGCGGCAATGACGGCGATGGTAGCTTTCGACATGGTGGCTAGCTGTCGTGGGGTTTCCCTGCTGGATGGACTGGATGGGCCTGCTTCCTGTCGGGGTGCGCGCAAGGGGTACTCTCCACGGCTTTGAGGCGAGCGAGGTGCTGAGGAGATTCGGACAGAGGAATTGTAAAGGTGGAAAGGTCCCAAAGCTCAACTTTATAAAATTTCCCACGATCCGCGACCCGCGACTTGCGACTCGCGCCCCCGCGGTATCTCCAAGGGACACCCGAGGACCCAGTGACCCCGGCTCCCCCGAACGGTTGGTGACACGGCGACGGAGTGGAGAGGTCCCCACCGAGCAACTGGACGGTACCACATCACAAACACATGCACTTCATCTGATTCAGCTGGTGGGCAGAGACATCGAGATAGAATGCTGTCCAGTCCCTTCGTTGCAACTGATATGGAGCAATTTTGCCAACTGTCCCAACGCATTGACAGTTTGGTAGAGGTATGTAGTATATACCAGTGCTCTTTTTCGATCCCGAAAACTCAGGGTCTCTTTGACTGAGCAACCCTAACTCGCCCATGTGAGGCTAGAGAAATATGCTAGACCAAACAGCATCTATAGATATCCATCAGAAAGCCGAATTGTTGAGACTCATAATGGACAATTGCTAATGACAGCTACCAAACAAAAAAGAGAAACAAAGTGGGCCGAGTCCAAATCGGGGATCTGTGGTCTATGGTAGGTACAAGGCCAAGAAGGAGACCTATGATGGCATCGATGATAAAGATCCTTGTTGCTTTCGCTGCTTCTTATCACGAACGGACGGTCCTTGTTAAAAAGCCTGCGTGAGCTGCAATTGTTCGCCTTCACAACCTCAGCCTGGATATCTCGGTCCAAAATCAATCAACTTCTTCGACGTCAAAACCGGCAGTCACTGATATCAACTTGCGGCAGTCGACACCCAGGCATCCAAGGCTGCAAGTTCCCTCCGCATCCGCCCTGCATCTTGCCTTGTCTTCGTTCTCCGCACTCGGCGCCCCAGGCACCTGCACTCCATTGTACCTACCTACCGACCGAAACAATACTTATCTGACCCATTGACTTTCTTCCATCCAATCTGATCACCTGCTTACCTTCACGACGCCAACAGCCCATCCAGGGCCGGCTACCGTGTGCCAGCAAGGTCCTCAAAACTAGCGCACCCTGCACTAGCAAAGTTTTCGATCTCCAACCGCCGGTCCGGATCAACAATCCAACCCCAGGCCCCAAACCCGCCGCCCAAGAGCGGGCTCCAATTGATTGTCCTGTGTCTTATATTGTCTGGGCTTGTGTGTGGCCGTTGAGGTTCTCAACCACGACGGACGGGACCTGCTAGATTCTCGCCTCCGTCTGATCTTGCCTCGCCGCCTTTTCCCATCCAAACACCATCTTGATCGAACTTGTGAGGCTCGCTCGTCCATCTGACTTCTGTTTGACGCCAACGTCCCTTTTTCGTCCTCCTCGACAAATATCGGACTATATTCAGGATTTCTACTACAACAATTTGACCGTTCCCCGTTGCTACAAGTACAGTTATCGATCGCCGTCTCCCCTCCATGCCATACACGCCGTCATCACGAATAGAAGAGACTGCAGCAACCGACTACAGACGGGCGGCGTAAAGCGACAATCCGGCAACCTTGCATCCTCACCCAATTCCGGCCACGATGCTTACAACCGCGATCGACAATGACACCCGAGGGTGGATTTTGACCGTCGTGAGTGGCTTGGGTTCGTATCCATCACCCTTCGTTGTATCGATTATGTGTGTGGGTTGAGTTTCTCGAGCATCCAAGCTGACGAGCAATCCCTAGCATGCATTCTTGGATCAACCATCATTTGCGTCGATGTCCCCATCCGCTTTTTCAACATCAAGAGCAAGTTTAGTATACAGGGGAGCAATGTCTTCATATCAGGCTCGTTGAGTCTGAGTTTTGGGGTTATGGTTAGTATTCTTCAGACCTGGCTCTTAGTGGCTTTCCTTGACCTTGCAAGAACATGGCGAGTTAACTATTGAATGTACCACAGATATTTTCGGCCTTGTTTAGCATGCTTCCGTCTGCTTTGCGATACCTCACTACGGAGGGGCGGGACGAGAAGACCGCAGGCCTCATCAACATGGGCTGTTACATTGCTGGCTTTTTCGGCATTCAGGTCGTCTCTCGAGTCCTCCATCGATTTATACCCTCCCACGTTGTTGGGTGCGACCATTCCCATAACCCACATGCAAATGTGCAACATCAGCCCCTTTTTGATGATCATCATCACCAGCCGCCTTGGGCGAGCCGCACCCATGGACAGTCCGTCACGACGCTATCCTCGGAAGCTCCAGAAACACCAACCATGGTCGAAGTGAATGGGCATGCGACCGAATCAACTCCCCTGCTACCGACCGAGACCGACCACGAGGCGCAGTCAGTTCCCCCAGTCAGGCCTAATCTTCTTGGTCGTTCACATACCGTTGGAAGACAGGCCCGCAGCACCAGCGGCATCCAAAGCAGACGCCCATCCGTACGCCAGATGACGAGCAGAGTACTATCATTTGTTAAGGACACCAAGCTTCACTGCGATGGCGATGGCCCGTGTTTCGGATATACGGATCCTTGTGGGCAGGAGTGCTTCAGACACATTGGTGCGCGCTCCATCCCCCCTGGGCGTCCCGCCACCCTCCCAGTCATACGTTCCGGAGAGTCCGTGGGTACTGGCGAGGTACCAGATTCCCTCAACAGTCCCATATACCAAGTACGGAGTCGAACCTGTTCCAGAGAGTCGTCTGTCGGTTACGCAGACCGTGCCGACCACGATGGACACGACGATCACCATGACGGAGAAAATCACGACACTGGCTATTCAGCAGTAGAGGAGGATATCGAGGCTCAACACCATCATCACGTACCGACAAACGCCTTTCTCTCTATCGGCCTGCAGACTGTTATAGCCATTGCGCTTCACAAGTTTCCTGAGGGCTTCATCACCTACGCCACCAACCATGTGAACCCTTCGCTCGGCTTCAATGTTTTCATGGCCCTGTTCGTTCATAACATCGCTGAGGGATTCTCCATGGCCCTGCCTCTGTACATGGCGTTGAACAGCCGGTTCAAGGCTATTGCCTGGGCCACATTACTCGGTGGTCTCAGTCAGCCGCTGGGCGCCGGAGTTGCAGTGCTGTGGTTCAAGGTTGCCAAGCATAGCAACATCACGATCAACGGCACAGCATACGGATGCTTGTTTGCCGTTACTGCGGGTATCATGACCAGCGTGGCGCTGCAGCTATTTGGGGAGAGCTTGAGCTTGACCCACAACAGGAACATGAGCATCTTCTTTGCTTTCCTGGGTATGACTCTGCTTGGGGTCTGCGACGCCATTGCCGATGTGTAGAATGAGGAAACATGCGACAAAAGGTGTCCCCCTTTTTGAATACGTTCATAGACGGAAGAGCACGGAGCTACTAGAACCATTTTGTATCACCCGTCTTGGTTGTTGGCGTTCTTGATTGGATCAGGGGACGTCATCGCACGAGTTTTCACGATAATGACAATTGGGAACAAATACAACGGTCGGACACGGGGCGTTTTTGGGAACATTGGACATTGAAGATTGGAGAAGTCATGAATTTGAGCTTAGGAAAAGGAAGCGGCGGGTTTATTGCTAGCGATGAAGTTTGTGATATATCTAGTAACAAACCTCTTGAATATCAATAACCAAGACGTCGACTCCTACTTGGTGCCAAAACAAGGAATCTGAATGCCACGAACTACTCCACTTAAAGCCGGTGCTACTTGGAATTTTGACCCCTCACAACCCCGAGTTTTCCCCTCTTCGGACTCCTCCTACGATTCTCCGAGATCGCTCGCTGGAGCAAAGTCGACCACCCAAGTATAAATAGGTGTGGTCACTGGTCACTCTAGATCTAACCTCGGGATAAACATTCCGACAGCCGGCCGATCGGGTATTAGTTCCAGCGGGTATGTTTCAGTCGTTCAGTGTACCACACTAGTCAATGAGTCTTCCTAGATGCATGTAATCAGAAAAGGAAACTGAGGGGAAAGTCGATCACAAAACATGCGACATTCTAGATATCACCAGCATCGCCATTGTTATCCTCTCTACCACACAATTTCTGGAGTCACCACTAAAACACAACCACACAAAAGTTCAACAAGCTAATTGGCCTCTTGATACCAAGAAATCAAGAAACGAAAATGTCGACAGAAGCAAAGAGGACAATGAAGGCCGTAGTCTTTGAGGGACCCAAGAAGGTTTCTGTTCAGGAGAGGCCGATTCCTGAGGGTAAGCCTCCCGCATCTTGTGTTTTCACTCTCAACCACCACTCCATGATACATACCGTGGTCTTGATCATGCTAGACTTATATCTCACACTGAGCACAAACTCAATCAAGACCTTCCCCAGATGGCATAACGAGTCCCGAGTCCAAATGGGCAGACTGACTGCAAATCATCATCCTCTACAGTACTACGGACTTTTGTGTGTGACATGGGCTAACGCGAGTGCATGAATGAATGAACAGTGCAAGATCCTAGGGACATCATTGTCAAGGTGCAGATGACTGCTCTGTGTGGCTCGTAGGTTTTATCCTCTGGGCTTGGTTTCCTAGGCTCGGTATAACATGCTACACACCTCACCCAGTATCTCACCCATCACGACCTATTCTCCCTAACTCCCTCCTCCGTTTCCCCTCTCCCTTTCACCTGCCTCACTGCCACCGATCACATTCCCCTCTCTCCATCACCAAAAGCACACCTCTGACCACCGCTGACCAACAACTGCCCAAAGTGAACTCCACACCTACCGCGGCCGCGAGGCCTCAACCCCAGGTTTCATCATGGGCCACGAATTCACCGGCGTCGCCCATGCCGTTGGCCCCTCTGTCAAGACCATCAAAGTAGGCGACAAGGTCGTCGCCCCCTTCACCGTCTCCTGCGGCACCTGCTTCTACTGCCTTCACGGCTTCTCCTCCCGCTGTGCCTCCTCTTTGTTGTTCGGTTCCCCCGGGCTCGACGGCGGACAAGCCGAGTACGTCCGCATCCCCCTTGCCGACGGGACCGCAGTCGTGGCCCCGCCCGAGATCGAAGATGAGAGGGCGTTGGTGTTGATGGCGGATATTTTCCCCACGGGATATTTCGGCGCGAAAAACGCGTTTAAACTGATGCATGACCTGAACCCGGAGGAGGCGACGGTGGTGGTGGTGGGTTGTGGACCTGTGGGGCTTTGTGCGGTTGTGTCGGCGCTGGAGTACAAGCCTAAGCATTTGTTCGCTGTGGATTGTGTGGAGAGCAGGTTGGCGTTGGCGAAGGAGCTGGGCGCGGAGCCGTTGAACTTTGCGGAGGTTGAGAAGGGAGGTGTTGGGCTGGAGGGGATGGTGAAGAGGATTAAGGAGGTGACGGAGGGGAGGGGCGCGGATGCGGTGGTTGAGGTGGTGGGAAGCAGGCCGGCGCTCAAGACGGCATATGAGCTTTTGAGGCCGTTTGGAGTGATCAGCAGTATTGGTGTCCAGGGACACTATGATTTGCCTTGGTCGGGTGAAGATGGGTATAAGTAAGATTTCCCCTTCGTGCCTCGTCTCATGAGATGATGGATAATGGATGGTTTGGCTAATCTCCCGGCAACAGCAAAAACTTGAGAGTACAGATGGGCCGGTGTCCGGTGCGGTCCATCTTCCCGGAAGCGTTGGAGGTGATGGGTAGAAACCAGCACAAGTTTGGGTAAGCACCGATATATGTTGGTTTGTACGAATGTTGACACAAGATGCTGACCTTCTGTCGCGTATAGCTTCATGTACGACAAGATCATGCCCCTTGCCGAGGCTGTCGAGGGATATGATCTCTTTGATAACATGAAGGTACAGAAGGTGATCTTCACACCTTGAATAGGAGCCATGGTTTCTTCGCGCCGGATATGTCATACGCATGAGTAGAGTATGTCGGGGAGACCAAATAGCCTAGCCATCTACAAGTACTTCCACAGACAGACAGACAACTACCGCAATGCACCGACGGATGCGGAACTTTGGTGTGCCTGGTAACTCTCTCAGTTCTGTCTAGGCTTCACGAGGCCGTTGTGCATCCAGTAGTACGTAACAGTTGAATCATCTTGGACGGTCGCGAGCAAGATACGCTTGCCACGCTTCGGGCCCCTCCATAACTGCCACTGGGCATCCTCGTTGGCGTTCACAGACTCGCCTCCGGGAGGGGTGGCCGTGATGGCATCAAAGACGGCCGCGAAGTCGCTGATGGACCATTTCTCAGCCAGGTGCAGCGGAAGAACCCATTCCAGCTCAGGCTCCTGGGGAACACGCTGGTTCAACTGCTTCTCGGCCTTGATGATGTCGATCTGCTCATCGGGGTGCACATAGAGGCGCTTTGGCGGGAGTCCATAGATGAGAGGTCGAGGGAGGTTGTCCTGAATGTGTATCTGGACCTGAGTCCAGTCGTGTTGATTTTCCAGGTTGTTCACCACAACCTTTGTGAGAGCTTGGAGGTGTTGGTCGGCCGACATGTTGGCAATGGTAAGACAGTCTGGCGTTTGGGGTGACTGACTGACTGACTGACTGAATGAGATGGTTGTTGTCTTGTCAATGTGGGCCGAGCAAGAATGTCCAGTCTTGTTCATTTTCGCGAATCTGTTTGTCCGTTGGCGGGGTTGATCCAGACTCCATTTTAAAGCGGGTCTCAACCACAAGGGTCGGGTACGACCTCAAGGGACGCAATCAGCAGGGGTTCTCTATCAGTGCTGGAGAGAAAGTGGGTCACTAAGGAAGATCAGTCGAGCCTGGAACATGGAGGCCGCTGAAATACGGCAGTATGGAACAACTTTTGTTTTCGGATGTTTTTTCCATGGACATCTCATCTTCACATCACCTCCCATTGACACGACACGTTCGAACGCTTTTTCCGAATTGCCTCCTAACTTTGAAGCTTTACTGACACATGTGGCATGACATCACCGCTACGTCGGCCGTGTTTGATCCCGTCAAGCCATTCCACACGCTCCCAGTGACCACAGAGTAGGCCGAGATGACGGGAAAGGTTCACCAATGAACTGAGGGTCCAGGGTATTCTCTATTGGATAGGGTCGTCTTTCTGGGTTTCTGGAGGGTGTGTCACGACGGGGCTGAGTGTCTGCAGGTTCCTGGGGGAGCTAAGCTCCGGCTATACGCGTACAGTAGAGGCTGTTGGATTGAGGTCTGGCCCATCCCGTCACTCGCCCCCTCCCCCCCAGTCGCCGTTACCTTGGTTGGTTTGTGGTTGTGTCGACTTCCTCGCTTCCTCCCTCCTTTTCTGCCCCCTTGAGCAGCTGCATCACTAGTCGGTGCGTCCTGTATACAAGTAAGGTGACCCTCCTGTGTCGTCAGTTGCAGGTACCGTGCCCTTTGCAAGGGTGCAAGTTGGTTCCGGGACCAAGAACTTAAATCTGACGACGAGTGCTATCGGGCCCTTTGACTTCTTGGCCGCCCCTTCGTTCTCTCTTTTTTTCTTCTTTTTTTTTCTTCCTCTTCCTCTCCTTCTCTAGGTAGTAACCTTGCCCATATTGATTTTGGTCTCGTTTACTCTGAGAAATGCTCACATCTTACTCTACTTAGACATCGTTTGCATCTTACACCACTCTTGTTTTCCCAAAGCATTACGAATACCAAGTACATAAATAATCTTTAGTCACCCCCCGCCACGCTTTGATAACCGCGGCCGCCAACAGCCCCCTTCGATCAACGACTTCATCAAAGAAGCTGCGATGGTTCAAAACAACCATGTCGCAGCCGGGAGGCTGACCGGCACCAACGATAATTTATCTCCTCACAAGGATCGAACGACGGAGAACTTGAAACCCGTCACATCAGAACAGCCACTCGTAAGCCGCCAGGTCTCACGACAAACCGACACCACGAAGCCTGCTCGACTATCGGTAGATGATGTCACCTTAGCAGTACCAGCAGAACGCGACGTCGCAGAAAAAGACTACACACGGCCTTTTGATAATGGCTATCACTTTCCGCCCAAGTACTCCTGGCAGGAGTCCACAAAGCAAGGGCTCTCCTCGTTCTGGGAGTTCTTTACAACGCCAATGGGCTGCTTCTGGACGTTCTATGGGCTCAACGTGGTAGCTTGGGGTGGCATGTTGTTCCTTCTGCTCTGTAACGCCGCGCCGGCCATGTGCCATCCGACATGCGACGATATCAACTCGCCGAGACGAAAATGGGTTGAGTGGGACTCGCAAGTTCTCACGGGTCTGTTCTGTGTCACTGCGTTCGGACTGGCGCCATGGCGTTTCCGGGATCTCTGGCTTCTGATGAAGTACCGCATCAAAGGACAGCAGGAAGGCCTCCTAAGGCTTGCTGGGATTCATAGCAGCTGGTTTCGTCTCCCGGGCACGGAGGAGCTGTCCCCGGATATCGGACCAGACAATCTCCCGACTGATGTCCCCAAGCAGTGCGTTCCCATCCCGAAGGAAAAGATGCCCAACGCACCACTGACGGGCATTCGAGCGCCGGCCACCAAGGTTTGGAAGATGGACTTTATGATCTGGTGCATGATTCTCAATACCTTGGCTCAGGTCGGCCTGTGTGGTATAATGTGGGGTATGAACCGGTATAACCGCCCGAGCTGGTCAACGGGATTTCTGGTAGCTGTCGGATGTATTATTGCTATGGTCGGTGGACTGGTCATGTTCTTTGAGGGAAGAAAGGTGAAGAGGGTCGAAGGTGTTCCTTGCAGTGAGCGAGATCTGCAGAAGCTGGCACAAGACAAGGAGATGGGCATTTTGCACTACAACAACATTGGCGACAAGAAGCCCAAACAGAAGAAGAAACAAAGCGATCCTGAGAAATAGAGAGTTCGTGGAAGAGGCATTAGGCGTTTGGGCTTTGGGATCAGGCATTAATCGATGGATCAAGTTTTACAACAACCCGGGAGGCTTTAATGATGGGAGTGTAGGAAAGGATATGGAACATTGTTATCGCTGTATGGGCTGTGAGAATAAGTGCGATAACTTTTTGATGGAACACGATAGGTAGAACACCATAGGTTATCGCGGCTATTAGTATGTATGAAGAGTATATGGAACCTACGAGCAGAGATCGCCGTCTCACTACTCAAGATACTGCATGACCAAGGCCTGAAAGCGAGGCGGTGAATCTCTGGTCTGTCTGTCTCTCTTTCTTCAGGCTGTCTGTCCTCTAGACACATGACAAGCTCTACGTTGATATTTCCACGTAATCATTTCAGGTTTGTTATTGGCTCGATGCACCACAGTCACTTGATGCTATGAAGCAGCAAGCAAGGGTTTGGGCCGTTGTGGCTCGAGATCTTGAGATTCCATTTAGTATACAATGCAGAAGCCAGCCAAGGAACACCTTGATGGCCTCTTCCGGCGTAGGTACCTATTCAAGCCACAGTGACCAATCTCAAGGCGGTTCCCTCTGTTCCCCCGGTCCGTTTCACCACTGAGGGCCTGTGGATACATGCGTTGTGGAAGGGAAATGATCAGCGGGCGTTTATCTGGGGTGCCGTACACTAGTTCAATGCCCGCTGAGGACGTCAGCCACTGCTCCACTCCACGTTTGTCACCCGACGGACTGTTCGCCTTGCCCAAGTACCATAGTACTAGTTGTAGCATGGCAACGAACTATCCACAAACCAACAAAGAAACGGACGGAACAGATTGACTCGCACTATTTCGAAAGTCAAGGCCAACCACGAAGGTGTTCTTTTCAGGCATCTGGAACCAATCCCAGCGTTTCACAGATACACGTTCACACAGAACCGCATCGCGACGGTCGGGTTTACCATCATTCCCAACAACCTCGAGCACCGAAAGCAGCAGGTAGCTAGCCTCTCCGCCCAGTAGAGTAGCGCATCCTTTAGCGCCCCCATTGATCGTCCAAGAGGGAAGGCTACCGATATCGTTATCAGTCCTGGCATCACATCACTTGATCAACCTCCCATCTCGCCGATCATCTCGGTCATCCGTCCGTAGGTGACTTCGACCTTTTTACAGTTATTGCTTAAGCTTTGCAACGTTCAAGCTTTCTCTCGGACACATTCAATTTACCAAACTTGAGTTGAAGGGAGAGAGAGAGAAAGACCGACACGATGGCTTCAATCATACCCGCGCGGGCCATCATCCCTTTCCTAGTGGGAATGATGTTACTTACTGGAGTGTGCAACACCCTCTTGACCAAGTACCAGGTAAGGAAGAAACCTCGCAACCTCCATAGCAGAGCAAGGTAATTTCCATCACCGATCAATTGCTGACGATGACCCGTTCTTCGTTGTACATATAGGACAACCAATGCGTTCGCAATTGTGACGACCCCGACCCGCTCAAACGGAAGCACTTTGAGCAGCCCGTCATTCAGACCCTCCAGATGTTCGTCGGCGAGATGGGCTGCTGGCTGGTTGTAGGCATCATGTCGCTCTGGAGCCGCTACGTCTCCAAATCCACCACGTACGAGCGCATCAATAACCGGGCGGGCGAGGACGAGGACACCACCGTCCCCGACGACGCCAGCATCCGCTCCCACACCCCTCTCACCGACTCAACCGCATCTTCCAAGTACGACGGCCCCTCTATCCTCCGCGGCTGGCGCGTCGTGCTGCTCTCGCTCCCCGCCATCTGCGACATCTGCGGTACTACCCTCATGAACGCTGGCCTGCTGCTCGTGGCGGCCTCCATCTACCAGATGACGCGCGGCGCGCTGGTGCTCTTTGTCGGCATCTTCAGCGTCGTTTTCTTGCGCCGCAAGCTGTACGCCTTCCAGTGGCTGTCGCTGGTGGGCGTCATGGTGGGCGTGGCGCTCGTGGGACTGGCTGGTGCGATTCAGCCGGATCAGAAACATCCTAGTGCTACGACGACTATAACTGCGGATGTGGGCGCCGATGCCCTCAAGGTGATCATTGGTGTCTTGATGATTGCCGGCGCGCAGATTTTTACTGCTACGCAGTTTGTGTTGGAGGAGTACATCCTGGAGCGGTCGACGATCGAGCCCATTCGTGTTGTCGGGTGGGAGGGCCTCTTTGGCTTTACCGTTACACTTTTGGGCATGGTCATCTTGCACTTTGCCATTGGACGGACCGAGGCCGGTCGGTATGGACCGTTCGATATGGTGGAGGGATGGAGGCAGTTTTGGGAGTATAAACCTGTCTTCATCTCAAGCGTTCTGATCATGATTAGCATTGGGTAAGTTTGCTTTAATCCCTTTATCCCTCCTCCTCCTCCCCTTCTATCAACAGAACACCACGCTCACCCCTGATTCCTTTACAGCGGCTTCAATTTCTTTGGCCTCTCCGTAACCCGCTCTGTGAGCGCCACCTCCCGCTCCACCATCGACACGTGCCGCACGCTTTTCATCTGGATGGTGTCGCTCGGTCTCGGCTGGGAGACATTCAAGTGGCTGCAGGTCATCGGCTTTGGTCTGCTCGTTTACTTTACTTTCCTCTTCAACGGCATCGTCGAGCCTCCGTTTGAGTTCCTCCGCGTCAGCCAGGTGGAGGAGCTGTTGCCTGAGGAGCCTATTGAGCATAACTGAGCTAGATTATGGGGAATAGGGTGTAACATACAGACACGGTGTTCTGCGAACGGTAAACAAGGACATGGTTTATACCATTTTTACCTACGGCTTCTTGGGTATTTAGTTTGTTTTATCAGCTTTGGGTAGGGTAGGAGATCACTGTCGCTTGTCACGATACCTGCTGCTAGTTGACTCAGGGTCGGTATAGGAAATGGATGTGGTGATGTTACCTTAAAGGGACGGATGTAAGGCGTTCAATGGATTGGTTTCGGATGGATGACAAAGGGTCACGATGGGATAGGGGTTCACTTCTGCAGCGATAGCATATAAACACATATACAGGTGATGTATCATACATTACTTTTCAGGCAGAATAACAAGACATGTTTACAGTCTACTCCCCGCGACATGTCTGTGACTTGTGGAAGAGGGTCCTGGACAATGGTCAGACAGGTGCTTTGAGGCCCGAAGAGTGGGTTGTAGACAACAGATGAAAGTAAGACAGCGATGATGCATGTTTCGGCAGGAAGATGGTCTGGATCATTGTTGCAGAATGTGCTGAGTGCATAATGGTAAAGACGCAGATAGATAATTTGCAACAAAGGGATGGATTAGACGCACATACGGTAGCCACGAGGCACGAGTCAAGACTTCCACCTTTTACTTGGACTCTCGCTCAGCGAGATCGCGAACAAATATCATCAGGTGCGGACAGAAAGAGTTTGAGAAAACTATTGATTCGCAACCTAAAATAATAAAAAAATACCTGATAACATCTCCGTCACTTGCTTGCTGTGATTCATGCGCATATTCACTTTAGACTTGATACTCCGGGCCGTGCGTATAAGCTTGGCTGTGTTCGCCCTGCGCCCTGCTGCCCTACTGCCTGCGCCACGCTGCGTCTGATGATCTTATCCTGGTTCTGCTGTAGGTAGCTACCGAATAATCTTGCGAAATTGGCAAAATACCTTTGATCTTTGAGCGCCCGACGTTGAGCAGCAAGAAGCAGCATATACCTGTACATACTTTGCTCGCTCAGTTGGTGAAGGCTTCGAGACCACCCAGAACACCTGCGTGCGTTTCAACGTGCAGGGTTAGACATCAGTCGGTCCTACAGATCTGCCAGTACTATGTCGCAGAAAGAGGTTTCTTCGGCAGTAGTGGTATGTTGCCAATTTCGCGAAACTGTTCGGCAGGTAGTCTGGCAGGTAGTCATCCATAGGCGCTTCTTCCTTCATGTCATATCGTGCCAAGTCGTATCATGTCGTAAATCATCTCGTCCGTCTGTCCTTCTGTCCATCCTTCGCTATGTCGTCCTGTGCCATCCGACTCGACTTATCCTTCCATCTTGCCTCATCAACTTCATCCAGTCAACCCCCGAACCATCATGGTCCATTAAGCGCCCCAGCACTCCAAGTTCAAGCATAGCAATGCACGGCAGCAATGCAATACAGTGCAAGCTCCAAGGCATCGTACACCGTCATCAGACCAGGTCATGGCAAACCTAGTTCACATTGGCAAGCAACTCGGCCTCCAAAATAAACTTGCCCTCCTTGTACTTCTCGCTGGGCTCATAGGCTCGATCGTACTTCCATCCGACCACCTCCTTGCATTGGCGGCAGTGTATGTCCCGGACGACGTGGCGGCCCGTCGTCATGTTGCGCTCGCTGGGTTCACCGGTCTCGACGTTGACGACCGAGTTGAAGAGGTAGGCCTTTCCGTGTTGGCCTCTGAAGTTCTGTGTTTTTGGTTTTGTTTGATGTCAGCAACTAGAACGGAATTACCGGGAAAAGTTAAGGAGGGGACATGAGGAAGCGAAAGGAGGAGAGGAGGGGTAGGGAAAAAACAAAGAGAAAAGAAGAGAAGAGACGGAAAGAGAATAAAAAAGAAGGGAGGGGAATGAAAGAAAACTAACTGCGACTAACCCTACTGATGATGTCCTCATGATTAGCCAAATGGGTCTTGCAGTTCCTGCACCCATAAATCTTGCCGCTGTTGAGGTAGACATTGTAGGCGAGACCCATGTTGTTGTTTGGGTTGGTGGTGATGTTGGTGTTGTTGCGGTTATCGCTGGAAGCGGGTGTCGCTCCTGAGGCTGTCTCACTGACGGTATTCGTAGTGGTCTCGCTGACACGGATGACTCGGGCGTCCTCCTCCGCGGTTGTTGGTGCCGGCTCACGGGCAGGTGCTACGCTGTTACTTTCGTTGCTGTTGTCGCTGTTGTCGAGTTGTCGAACCTGCTGTTGGTCTTGGGCTTGGGCTTGGGCGTTCTGCTCTTGAGGTTGAGGCTGATGCTGATGGTGAACTTGCAGTTCCGGAACGACTCGCTCAGCTCTCCTGCCAAAGCCGCGGGGTTCGCTTTCGATCATCTATAGATTTCACGGACAAAATGGTAAGTGTGATTGCTTCGCGAGCGAGCAGCAGTTGCAAAAGGGACAAACTGAAGGACACAGTCACAAGACGGGACTGAAACAACGGATGGGATGAATGGATGCAATGAATGGTAATCAATTGGTCTGAACGGTGGACGGTCGGGTGCTATCCAACGGCGGCGAAGCGAACGACTAACAAGCGGAGAGATAAGAGGACGAACGTTTGCGGTTAGGCAGTGTACTAAGTAGTTGTATACCAAATCGGTGTACCTTAGCGTAGAGGTACCCTGTGATAATACGACCACTGACGTCGTTAAGCGGAGCCTAGTTTGGTTGCTCTGTCAACCGATGTCAGCGAGTGAAGCTGGGTGAGATGACCAAACAAAGAGCTTACCAAACCACGTACTGTGAAGGTGTCACTTATTCTGATTACTAGTAATGGTAAAAAATGAGGTCGACGCTGAGAGGGAAGGAGTGAGAAACTGTGCGACCCAGGGCGGAATAGGAAAGAGCAAGCGGGAGTAATGTCTTAAATGCAATGGCGGCATACTACAAGCAAATTACTCGGGGAAAGCAGGAATGCTGTCACCTGCCAGCACGTGTGGCCGCACTGCTGGCCTTACCGGCTCTGCTCGGCTTCACGTCGCATAGTAAATCCCTTACTTGCACCTGGCAAGCATGCCCAGAATGCAGCAAATGAGAACAACATGCCGATACGTGCTCGTACTGCATTTCTATGCTGTACATGAATTATCGGAGACTTCAGATCGAGGTTCCAGATTGCTTGAAAGTACGAGCTGCAGTTTGCTCTCGCTTCCTATGAACAGTGGGCTGAACTGAAGCCTCGTGACTCCCTACTTCTAGATAAAAATGTATGGGGCGTCAAGTGAAGCTTTTTACTACTGATTGGGAAGATAATCATTTTTGCGTCTCACAAATTCACATAATAGACAATGGGAAATTGTTCACACTTATACACAAATCTATTGGTTAGTGGCACGGTAGTCTCCCAATGTTTGTCATTGGCAAGGACTTCGTCTCCTTTTCCCAATCGTCACCTTTGTTTACATTTGCCTCAAAAGGGGATAATTAACGACCCGCCATCACTTCGAAAAAAGAATCGAACACGGCATGAGAAGTTTGGGTACAGCTGTCTTGTAATAAAGTCATTTCAAGCAAGTGATTGCTATGCTATTCTTTTGCCCACCAACACAACGTCTCAGATAAAGAAAAGAAAAATAGAAAAAAAAATCAAGAGTCTAATGTACAAGAATTTCATTGTACATTTCACAGAGCGGAAATGACAGTGATGTATGATGAATTGGGGATATGTCCGCACGATGAGAGCTTGACCCAGTAACCAGCCATGATATGTGCGACAAGACAGGTTGAACAAGTTTCTTCAAAGTAGCATAAATGTGAGTTCATTTCTCATAACCTCGAGCCGTCTGCTTGATGCAAATTCCAACGGAATCCTCCACTTTTACCAGGAGAATGCCTCCTCAACGAAATCAATAGCACCGTTATATTGCTTGTTCCTGACAGCGCGACGGACTTCGTCACTGAGCGCACCAGGGCCACACACCGAGACGCCCATGTGGCCCACCTGGTCCTCCATCTCCCTTGCTAGAAGCGTGTCGATGTTCGGCCTGCCCGGGAACATCTGCACTGTCGAGCTTGGGCTGTGAATCTCTTTTGTCGAGCGGGGCCTGCTGACGAAGAGCATGATACGGAGCACCTCACGACGCTTTTCCATACCCAAGACCTCCGTCATCCAAGGGCGAATCCACTCCAGATGCTCAGGGCTTTGAATAGTCCAGACCAAGATAACTTTGCGGGTAGCCGCCATGCCATTGCTGTAGGCAATAACCAAATCACGGACGTGAGGCACCGCCTGTGTGATACCAACGCCGCCGGCGAAGAGCATGACGGTGCCATACGAGTGCATTTGGTGCATGCCTCCATAGGGGCCCTCAACAAGACACCTCGTCACCATCTTGCCGTCAATGCATGAAGCAGCCTTTTCATACAAGTTGCCAGTCATACCCGTGCGACCACGGAGGATAAAAGAAACAGTCGTCTTCTTCATGGCGAGAATGTCACGGCGGTCCATGGGAAGCTTTTCGCCGCTGGGTGAGTCGGCCTCTTCGCTCCATGCGACAGAAAATGGGTGAGATTGCCAGAGGCTGACGGATGGAAAGTAGAGATAAGCGTGCTGGCTAGGCTTGAAAAACCAGGGGCGCGCCATGGTCACAGTGACTCGTGTGGAACCGCCAGGGAGAGCCTCAACGAGAGCCTTGCCACCGCCAGATCCAAAGTTGTAGTACGCCACCCGAAGGAAGCGAGCAGTACGGTCAAAGGCCCACAAGACCATGACAGGGTAGAGGTACTTGATCTGCGGGAAGCCCTTGGGTCCAAGGTGGTAATACAGGCCGACGACGGAAGCGATGGCCAAGCAGATGTGCAAGATCTTAAAGATCTCGTAAAAGGCGTGCCGGAAAACGCTGGACGCTTGAATTGCAATGACGACAAAAGAAGCGGTTGCCTAGAGGAAACGTTAGCTACTGTGCTTCAAATACTATTCATCAAGATGCAGCGTTTACATACCACGAACCCGTAGATGAGAAAATCGCTCTTGAAGATGCCCTCGAAAGCCACAGACCAGCCCTTGGTAGCAGCCGTACGGTAAAGGTAGCCCAGAGTGTGAGCAAGAGCCTCCAGAGCCACAATACGGCCCAGCCATCGGTGAAGGAGATTGAACGTATCAAACGAGATACCCAAAAGGTAAAGGAGGGGGTTATTCCGGCCAGCCATGAGGAACAAGGGGATCATGTTGGCGACAGCGAGGGTGCCAGTACGATTGATGAACACAGTGGCAGACGCGCCCACTGGCTTCGAAAAGTCGATGCCCATGACACAGAAAGCTACATTGGTGGAGAAGTAGCCGAGGAGGAAGACGAGTTGAAGGCGCGTGGGGAGAGTTCCAACGTTGATGGCCGAGCTAAGTTGGAACTCGCGGTTGTGCCTCTTGCTGAAAATGGGTGAGTACTGGACATTCTTCTTGAACCACGACCACTTGCTGCCTGCTCTGGCAAAGTATGTCTGTGTATCGTTGGTGAGGCATGAAACATGTCGTATGTATCTGCTGAGGCCTGTGCTGAGTCTCCAGATGACCAAAGCAGCGGAGATACACCCCAGGACAAGAAGTAGATATCCCGAGAGCATGTCGTTGATAATGGCAGCTTCATCCGGACCTTCGGCAGCTGCACCTCCAGCTCTAGCAGCTATACCCCCCGCAGCACCATGAGCGACCGCTGGTGCGTTTCCTTGTGGTTGAGCTGACATTTTGCCTTATCCTTCTCTCTGGGGTTTTGGTCGGTTGTTGCTGATGTTGTGAAAGAATGAATGTCTGATATACGACCCCAAAGGTGCCCGGGTCCAGCGCGGGTGTATGAGTGTCGTAGAGGCGTGTCGAGTGAGTGTCTGATGATAGTGACGTCCTGTCCCTGGATCGCCTGCGAGGGACTGATGGGTTGAAGGTGGGTGACCAGGTTGAGTTTTGCGGAGTGTTTCTATTGCCGAATTCGGGTTGATGGTTGAGCCTCCAGGGTGAGATTTGGAAAGAAGGGATCCTGTCGAAGGCGCGTATAATGAAGGCAGGTCGTGTTCGGTCAACGATCAACACTGACGAGGAAGGAATGATGGGGGATGACGGTCGAGAAGAAAAAGACTCGAAGGAGGGCGAAGAAGAGAAAAAAAAGACCAAGATGACAAGTGACAGCCAAGTTGCCACTAGCACGAGGGATGGGGCCTTTTGTGGATGGTCAAGGAAAAAAAAAGTAAAGATGACGGAACCCAGGTGTTGGGGAAGGGGAGTGGAGGGAGGAAAGCTGGACAGTTAAGAAGAAGGAGGGGGTCTCCTGGGCATAAAATGAGAGAGAATGCCACACATGGGTTCGAGAAGGAGGGTGTGACTGGCAGGCGTGCTCGAGGCATGGGAGACGGAGTCCCAGAGTGGGTTTTGTGTGGTGGGTTTATCGCCGGCGCGATCGTCCAAACGTCTGGGACCTGGGAAGGTGGACTTGGTGGGGGGTTGAGAGCAGGGGAGGGGGGCGTGCCCTCGTCCAATCCCTGACCAGAGGTACCTTTTTTTTTTTTTTCATGCGCCTGCGTGCCTCCTGGTAAGGTTGTGTACCGGTTGTAGGTACCTCTTCATGGCCCTCCACCGAGAAGGCGTCTTGTGGAATCTGTTCGTGTTTTCGTTCCTTGCATGTTGTGTTCGTTGTGGTTGTTGTGGTTGCCCCTGGATAATGCGCTGCATCAACAGTCAATGAGGGAGTACAACGGGACTCGCCAGACGCCTCTCATGCACATCGGGATGTGTGTCTGGCTTCCAAACGACGGAGGCAGTAAAGAGTGGTGTTGGTCAGATCTTTCCTCATAGTGTTGCAATTGCGTTTCTGTTTCCTCCTGCTGACGACATTCCAGCCGGTGGTCAAGGTAATACACGACAGAATACTCTCCACGCAAAGGGATACATCAGATGTCGTGTGGCATGCACATCCGTCACAAGGCGCCGTCACTGCGCTCCGTCGAGTGGTTGTCGATTAGAGAATTTCGTCCAACAGCATCCATTTTTGACATGCCGCCAACTACCGCGCTAGAAATCCCTAACCCCCGGAGTATGTACACTAGAGTCTAGTACCGTGAACTGGCTAGTATCACAACTCACTTGGGATCTTCGTTTGTGGTTTCGACACTACACAACCACTTGGGATGGGTATTCAGATTCCCCACTATCAGTCAATCTCCACGAGGTGCCGCGGAAGGAGTTCGCCCGAGGTTTTCTGTTCTGGGCCTCTGGGGGAAGGGCATGCCGAGTCGTCCATGTCGTCGTCTGTCGTATTGACTATTCCACACTACATACCCCTGGTTTTTCCTCCGCCGGGCAGGATTACCTAGGTGATCAGAGCTGTGACCAGCATGGTACCTAGCCCTCCGGGCCTCCTCCGGGCCTTACAATTTGGGATCGGGTGTCCCTGCATTGTGGCGGCTGCAGTGCTGCGGGTGATGCTCTCTCCACCGCCGGGTCACAGCGCTGAAAACAACGGTCACAAACACTCTTTGACAGTGACGGTCTGGGTACTCAGTGGATAGGTAGTCGGCAAAAGATGGGAGAGAAAACTGGAGAAGAGACGAACGGGAGTTCCCAAGATTGGCTTGGCCCGTGCGCTTAGGTCCAAGCACGTTCCTGAACATTTGGGTGGACTTTGTGGAGCCAGTTGGCCACACTGAAACAGCCTCACAACGAGCCCCTGAGGTCGCTGGAAGCTCTGAGATCGCCCCTTCGCCAGTCATCCCGAAATTCGAACATCAGCCTCCCGGATGTCTGGCCAGAAGCTGCTATGTTCCCGAACAAGCGCACGTCAGCTGAAATGGCCTGTAAACCCCAAATAGCGATGTACATACATAACAAGATCAGCCAACGGAAGAATGAGCCGAGATCTCCACATGGGCCGGGTCCCGGGGAAGTTGTTCTCTGTTCCATGATCCATTCTCATCACACGGACGCACTTCAGCGCCTCGCTCTTTTGCTCCGGTTGTCAAGTGAACAACAACAACAACAACAACAACAACAACAACAACAACAACAACAACAACAACAACAACAACAACAACAACAACAACAACAACAACAACAACAACGGCCGCCGACAAACTGCAGAGAATTTGGTTTGATAGAAGCCATCGCCCACACAATCTCTTCTTGCAGGCATCACCGACTCTGTGCAAACATCTCGTTTGTCGGCAGATGTGTATTCAACTTCCATCCATCAGCCCAAGCATCGGCCGTGCGCGGCAAACCCTGTAACGCATCCCAAACAATCACGCTCGTTGCAACCAGAGGCTTCCTCCATCTTGATGGATTGCAATGCTACATACCAAGAAACCCGTAATTTAGCCTCGGTTTATCATCCCAGGCTCGTTTACCGGACTCGCCGGGAAACGAGAAACGAAGCATCTCTGTGGATCCCCTTCGCAACCCAATACCTTGAAGAGGAGGTTATCGCCGTGTGGCCTCTAAGGTCTGCAACCGCCGAGCACATAGTAACATTCAATTCTTCACGAGGTCCTTTATGGTATACGCAATCTCCCTCTCCAGTGCTCCATCGTCTCGCCGTTGCAAAACCAGGCGTGTGTCGAAGGAAACCCCCGGATAGCCAATAGTTATGTACACTACTACTTCATTCTCTCTGAGCCGCTTCCTGTCGCCGTCATTCTTCGAGAAGAATTCAAGTTGTGGACTAGATACTTTGGGAGTGTTTGTTTTATAGAACACTTTTTTTTCCATTTCCCACCCTGATCAAACGTGGTAACTCCTGGATCAACATGATGGAAATTTTAACGCCAAGTTGGGATCTTGGAGTTTGAGACGAACCCCTGGCGGTAGATAAGATCCATTGTCTCCCCGTCTCAGCTTCTTTGGCCTTGCTTGTCAAGCCCGCGCGGCTCAATCGAAACAGCAATGATCGAACGTTGGCCGGTCGTTCGTCATCACCATTTCCACTGGGTAAGGAGTGGTCACCATCACCCCTGTCCCGGTTACAAACAATGGAAACAATGGGACAGAAAGAAAAAGAGAGAGAAAGAGCCTCAACAACCGCCATGTCATGCGGCGTCATCCAAACTGAACGACACATTTGATGAACTCCATACACCATTACCTACCTACTGTTGTCTGTAAGTACCTTCGACCGAATTTGAACTGGAGCCGAACCCAAGGTTCCTAAAAGTGAGAGAGGCTCGTTCAGGCACCGCACCGCAGTGTCTGCCGAGCACGCATACCTCCATCGTCCCATCATGCAGCCACCAGCAGCAATCTGAATTTGTTCGCGGGATCGGCGTCAAACAACATAACTAAATATTATCTGAAGACCCCGACCCTATTAGGCCCGGGGGATGGTGTTTATTCGGAACGTTTTCTTGCTTCCCCTCTTTTGGTCGCATGGTAAATGGCTCTGTACCACGTGATACGACCGACTGCCTTTCAACCAGGTCTCTGAGTGAGCTTTAGTAGAAGAACAGGTTCTCGGTTGACGACTGACGTTGCACTCGTTTTCAAGACATGGGATAATATACACATGACTTGAGATCTCCAATTTTGTAGATAGGGTTATGTAGTGTCCCGGGGAGAGAAGGGTGGGTACTCGGGGATTTTGAGACCCTAATGTGGTCTACTATGGTACCTACTTAGGCAGAGGTATCAAGTAGATACGATAGACGAGCTAGATATATTGCTTGCTACCTACATATACTAGCAACCCGACAGGCCAGCAGGCCGACACAACCGACAATGGAGTGACCAGACACATGATAGACACACATGCTCACATACGCACACCCCCACACCCCCAGAACACACACACACACCACATCGGCATCAGATAACCGGCTCTAATTTCCATGCCCTAGCGAAGCAAGAGATCCAGGCAAGAATACGCGCGGCGGAGTCTGAGCGTTGTGGGGAAACTAGCCTAGATCAGGGGAAGGCAAGGTAAGGCGAAGCGCAGTTGGAGGCATGTTTCATGTGTACAGTTAATTTCGTCTCGATAGGAGAAGGCGTTAAAGTAGGTAGGAAAACGTCACTAGGGGCAGTCGAGGAGCGGGGTATGTTCAAGGACAAGGCGAGGTCCATAGAAGATGTGATTTTGTGCCGGTATTTTCGCAATACATGGTATATCTACTCAGTCACAATTTCTAGTCAAACATTATCAAGAGTATCATTTATACAATGACCCAACAGCCATTTGGTTATGCCATGTGTATCCTAGACCAGCATCCAGCAAGAAATCAGTGTTAATGTTAAGCAACGCAATCGGGTATTCTTTCCTTCCTCTCCCCTATTTCATCCGCTGGGGAAATCGCAATCCAACTTCCAACATCCTTGACGATCCGTTACCATGCCTAAATACCTCTCATGTGCAAAGCAACCTGACTGTAAAGCAAGAATTCAAAAAATAGTCCACTCTTATCCCGCCATTTTTCACCTATTTCCCCTTTCCTAGACCTAACCAAGTTCATCTTCACTCGTCTCTTCGGTTTCTCCCCCGTAAATCGCCCTGCCGCTGCCGCTGCTACCGGCAGATCTCCTAAGTGATCGCCGCCGAGCAGTATTCCCACCATTGCTAGAGGTACCATTACCGCTACGGCTGGCACTGGCGTTGGCACTAGCACTACCGCCGGCACCATTACTAAGTTTAGCAGTAGCACCAGCACCAGCACCGGTATTGGTAGTAGCAATAGCCAATGCAACCAATGAAGCCCTCGTCCGAGGCTGTTTAGCCAAGGGACGACGATGTTCTGTACCACTAGATGGCGGCTCAGGAGCGGAGAAGTCATCGTCGTCGTCATCATCATCATCCTCATCGGAGTCATTTTCTTGATCGACCTCATTGTCGGTGTCGAGATGACTGGATTTTCGCTTGTTGCCGCTTAGCCGTCGCTGTTGCGGTTGCGGTTGCAGTTGAAGTCGCCTTCTTCGAGGAGGAGGAGGTGGTGGTGGTGGTATCTGCTGGTAAGTTTCGTTTGGGCCTACGACGTTTGATGTTTCAAAATCGGAACTCCAGTCCGAGGACGAGTCGACGGTGGCGGTTTGAGGTGTGGTGGTAGTTGTTTCAGAGCTGGCGTCGTCGTCTTGGAGGTCGTCGTCATTGTCCGCGTCGGTGTCATCGTTGGTGGTATCGACTGTGGTAGATGTTGCAAGTGAAGCTGTGCGAGATTGTACCAGGCGCGTGCTACCACGTGTCTGTTTCTGGTTGGGCGCCAATGTAGATGTAGATGAGGACGTAGCAGTAGGAGTATACCGTTGAATTGCCTCCATCAGAGACGGACACCTTGTCGACCTTCTCGTCGTTCTACCTCCGCCTCCTCCCACGGCCGGCTGAGGAAGATCTACCGTGACCCACTCGCTCAGAGCATCGTCCCACTTGAACCCGGTAAAGGACTTGCCCTCTGACTCCTCCCTGGTACGGATGCGCTCTTCATAGTAAGGTTTCGCCTTCATCATGGCGTGTGGGCAGGTTGTTGACTTCTTCTTAGCCCATAGCTTTTCGGCATATGCGAGGTCTTGGAGGTCGTTGGTCTCGAACGCCACGAAGAAGGCGACATCCAGTTCGATGTTCTCAAAGGGGTGGTAGGGGAGGTTGTCGGGAATCTGCAACGCTCTCATTTTGTCACAAATCTGGGGAATGTAGGTATGAGCACTGGTCGATCCATTGCTTCGACTGTAGTTGATCACTATCGTGCCCAAAACACCCAATGTCATCGAGTACTGCTGGTCCAGACGATCAATGCGTTGGCCACTTTTTGCGCCTTTCCATGCTGCTGAAGCAATGGTGGAGGCCGAGGACTCGGTTCCGAATGCAAGGAAATCGCAGAGGCTGATAAGATATACGGCGGGGGATGGGAGGCTCGTCTTTCGAGCATGAAGTAAGTATGTACGAAAGATGTACCGCACACGGTGGGCGAATACCGCAAGCTGTGACGGTGTAACCGCGCGCTCTCCCTTTTTAGGATCGTCGAAGTGACGGAGCACTTGAGATACTAGCGTTGCCATGTCTCCAGTCAGGTTTCCGGTGGCCAATTTGTGCGGCGCGAGATCAGAACAAGAACAAGTTTGTCTTCGTTCAGACATCAGAGGAGAAAGAACGTCGATCATGGTAATGAGAAAATCAACGCAGTCTTGGCCAGTCCCATAGAACAATTTCGCCATGGCATCAAGGCGTGCAGTCTTGAAAGCACTGACAAGCAACCACTCCGCCGGCAAAGAGCCATTAGCAAAAAGGTCGGCCAGTTTTCCAAGCATGAAGCGCTTAGTCCTCGCATGGCCGTAACCAATCGCCGCGAGCGGTAGTAGCGCAGGCGCTTCTATCGTGAGCCCGTTACGTACGTAGCGATCTGGAGATGGGTATTGACGCGAAACAAAGGCATTGGTAAGATCCAGACATTCGACCAAAGGCAAGTATTGGTAGCAAAGACTGATAAGAAGAATGGCTATGCGATCATCGAGCAAACCGTCCCTGATGGCGCCCTGGATGATCTTGACGCCATGGGCTCGGACGACTATGCGAAGATGTTTCCAGCCCCCCAACGCACCTAGCGACTCAAGCTCCGAGTAAATATCGAAGGACGCTCGCGACTCTTGCATAACGGACTTGGTCTTGTTTGCTTCGGCGTCCTTTTTCTCCCAGTATTCAAGCTCATTGATGTAATCTGGAATTCTCCGCAAGCACATGGCAAGGAACGATTTGGGCGAAGCGCTGGCTGGAGACTTTGGAGGAGAGGTAGCTCTGAGCAGGGCATCCAGCGTGCGGAAAACGGACTCGTATATCGAATAGGTCTCTTGATCCGTGCTTAGCCGAAGTTGTGCTAGACACGCCTCCAATCTGCACTGAACTCCCTGGCAGCTTCTATGGCTACACCTTGCGCCTCTGCCATGGTCGCTGGTTGAGGAGCTTTTGGTCGGAGCAAAGAGAATGGGCTGAGCTGGAGAAGATGCCAAGTAGTTGTCCGTAGTATGCCTAAGGTAGGGAGTAGGCACTGCGGTTTCTTGAACAGGCCTTCTGCCTACCCGCTGTCGTCGCGGTTTTTCAGGCGTCGTCAAATGCGCCCGTGATGAGGTTTTGCTGGAATATGTTGCAGGTTTTGAACCACCTCGGCCCTGTCGTTTACCAAAAGTCGCGCTCGAGGTGCTCTTTCCTTGGCCTACGCTCTCAGAAACGCCCAGCTTTCGCTCTTTTTCCTTCTTCAATGCGCCGATGTGAGCGAGCAGAGGGCGAAGGAGCCGGTTGCATCTCGTCGCTGTCCAGGGCTGGGCCTGTTCATGTGCCACTCCAGTTTGTTGTCGTTGTTGTTGTTGCTGTTCTTTTCGCTGAGGTGAATTCCATGTTCGTCTCTGAGGGGTTGACGAAGAATAGTCCATGAAGAGAAAAGGATGTTGAGCAATAAGCTGAAGTGGTGATTGATGTCGGTGACGAATATCAAAATGACCCAAATGTTCGCGAATAAGCAGAAGCAATTAAACCAAGATACTGTTTAAGGTACCCATACTCCAAAAAGAAAAAAAACCGCCGAATCTCTTGTTCAATGCTGATACATGCTTGGTTTGGTGGGTTGCTGGTTGTCGAAATGTTGTGTTCCAGATTGTCTTTTGGTCGCGGTTCTGGACGGAATGATAGGTATTGATGTTTACTTGAGAATACCGTCTCTGGACTAGCGTCTTGGACTGGGCGGAGTAAATGGACGGGAAACGCAGGATGGAATGTGTCGCAATCTCTCGGCCAACCAGGTCCCGTGGAAACAGGAATCGCGCCCTTCTAGGACGCTCGAGCCACCCTCCGCCCTCTGCTTCGGTTGTCGGGAACTGCAGTGGGGAGTGACTTTTTTGAACTTCCAGGTCGAGTGCTGCCCGTCTTCGCCCTTGCTTGGAGTGTCGCGAGCTGTGTCGGAGGGCGGGTACTCGGCGCTGTAAATAGTGGTTATAGAGGCTCCGTGTCTCCCGTCCCTCCCTCGATTGCAGAAGTGTTGAAGGCGGGGGAATGGAGAGGGAGTAGAGCGAGGTATATGATGGACCCTTTCAAACCTACCTACCCGGAGGTACCTTACCACTCGCGGTACCCGCCTGCCCGCCTTTGCCCGCCTCGAGTCATGCCCTGGTCTCGGGCTGTTGCCGGCCGCTGGACCCGGCAGTAACCTGCATCATAGGCCGAGACGAGAAAAAAAAAGTTGATGTTTGATCCGACGCCCCCAGACTGTGGTGAAAGGCCGAAGGTGAAGGGAAAGAGTCATTTACAGGACCTGCATACCCTACATACCTTACTCTGAATATATTTCTGGACGTGAGACCTCTCTACGGCTTGCACGTCTTGAACTTTTCCCCAAAACCTCCCAATTGGACTCTCTGATCTGTTTTTTCTGTCGCCTTGCCCGGTTCAAGGGACCTGTAGAATTCCACTTTTAAACCACTCTTTTTTTGTGTGCCTCGAATCCCAAGACCAGGACCAGGCCTAGGACCAGGACCGTATCTCGACCGAGCCTCTGTCCCCATTCCCCTCCTTTCAACCTCACTTCATATACCTGAGCCTGTCGTCTTTTTGTCTTTGTCCACCACACCTTGCTGCGCTAGTCCACAAGGTATCGACTCACAATCATGGCGGACGCATCCCAAGCAACCACTCCCGCTGCCGAGGGTAAGAAGCCAACACCAACACCAAGTCCCAAGCACCGCGTCGTACATATTAAACTCGATACGAGACGAGCCCCGGACCTGTCATACCTACCTACCCACCCACCCACCTACCTACTTGCCTACCCGCTGCACACATGCCATCTGCCAGACCTGCCGCCGTCCATCGTCGCTAACACAAGCCTCTTCTCCCACCAGGCAACCCCGTCCCCGAGGTTCCCGAGACCCAGACGCCTCCGGCCGATGTCAATGGCACAACAGAACAGGAACAGACGGAGGAGGGCGCCGAGCAGGCCCTCGAGGACCAGCCCTTCGTCGTGACCATCGTTCTCCCCAACACCACCGAGACCCTTGATATTCCTGTATGTGTCCCATGACCGCATATCACCACCAATAACCAGTGTTCTAAGACGGCGCAACAGGTGTCCCCTATGGAGCAGATCCATGAGATCCGCCAGTCGATAATTGAGCACCCCATCGCCATCGAGTTCTCGTGCTTCCACCTCGAGTTCAACGGCAAGAAGATCAACGACTTCATCCAGGTTTCCGACGTCGAGGGTCTCGAGCACGGCGCCCAACTACACCTTGTCGAGGACCCCTACACTGAAAAGGAGGCCCGCATTCACCTCATCCGCATTCGCGAACTGATTGGTGCTTCCGGAGACCGCACCGATACAGTCCACGGCGTTCTTGCCGGCGTTTCCGTTCACGACGATATTGTGGTTGAGAACCCCGATGCCCCCGAGGCCGAGATCAAGGAGTACGACTTCCAGGCCCCTGCTGACCTGGCTATTCTGCTCCCCAAGGAGACCGGCCCCGCCCCCAAGAGCATCAAGTCCATCTCCCTATCCCCCTGGAACCCCCCTCCTGCATACTGGAGGCAAAAGGGCCACCTTCTCTACCTTGTCATCCAGACCAACGAGGGTGAGCAGCACCACGTTACCGCCCATGTTGGTGGCTTCTTCGTCAACAGGTGCAGCAATGCCAAGTTCGACCCTCTCCCCAAGCCGGCCCCCAAGGATTGCGCCTCTCACTCTCTCTTTACCCTTCTCAAGAAGCTTTCTCCTTCTTTCGAGGAGTCGTTCAAGAAGTTCCAGGAGTTTTCTAGCCAAAAGGATCCCTTGGCTACGTTCCAAGTCGGCAACACTATCCCATCTGCGCCGTGGTTGATTCCTTCCATCAACTCCTCCCTTATTGCCCACGAGGCCGACAACACCCGCTCGCAGGAGACCTACCTGCTCGGCGGCGCTGAGAACGTCGACTCCTTGAGAGATTGGAATGAGGAGTTCCAGTCTGCCAAGGAGCTTCCCAAGGAGACCATCCAGGATCGCGTCTTCAGGGAGCGTCTGCTTGCTAAGCTCTTTGCTGACTACACTGATGCCGCTGCCCGCGGTGCCGTCCTTGTCGCTCGTGGCGAGGTTGCCCCTCTCAACCCTACTGAGGACAAGGATGCGCAGATCTTCGTCTACAACAACATCTTCTTCTCTTTCGGCGCTGACGGTGTTGGCACTTTCACCAGCGAGGGTGGCGATGAGGCGGCCCGTGTTGCCACTGGCAAGGATGTTCTCGGTGTCAAGCTCGTGAACCAGCTTGACATTGACGGTCTCTACACTCCCGGCACCGTCGTTATCGATTATCTCGGTAAGCGCATTGTCGGCCAGAGCATTGTTCCCGGCATTTTCAAGCAGCCCGAGGCTGGTGAGAACCAAATCCACTACGGTGCTGTCGACGGTAAGGACATTGTTGCCGCTGATGAGCGCTTCGCTCCTTCTTTCGAGAAGCTCGCCACTGCCCTGCGCGTCAAGAAGCACGCCGTTTGGGACAAGGAGAACAAGCGCCACGATCTTGAGGCCAGTGTTGAGATGAAGGGTCTTCTCGGAACTGATGGACGCAAGTACGTTTTGGACCTGTATCGCATCACTCCCTTGGACATTGCCTGGATGGAGGAGAGCGGACCTGAGGGATCTGAATACCCTCACCGCATGACTGTGCTCCGCCCTGAGCTTGTCGAGGCTTTGGCCAAGCAAAAGACCAGGGAGTACGTCCAGGCCGAGCTCCTGAAGCGCGGCATCATCAAGAAGCCTGAGGAGAAGAAGGAGGGCGAGGAGGCCACCGAGGAGGCCAAGACCGAGGAGACCAAGACCGAGGAGGCTGAGAAGTCTGAGGAGCCCAAGGCTGAGGAGACTGAGAAGACCGAGGAAGCTTCTGAGTCCACCGAGGTCGCCGAGAAGAAGGATGAGGAAGCCGCCAAGGAGGATGAGCGCATCGACATCAGCAACTTTAAGTTTGCCTTGAACCCCGATGTTTTCAGCGGCCAGGTTCCTCAGACTGAGGAGGAGAAGGCCGAGATGGCCCAGGATGAGCAGGACGTCCGTGACGCCTGCACCTACCTCCGTGACTCGGTCATCCCTGCCCTTCTGAACGATCTCAAGGAGTCCGACATCAGCTTCCCCATGGATGGCCGTTCGCTCACCCGCCTTCTGCACCGCCGCGGTATCAACATGCGTTACCTCGGTAAACTTGCTACCCTCAGCGAGGGTACCCGCGTTGAGTGCTTCCGTCAGCTCTGCGTTCGTGAGATGATTGCCAGAGCTTTCAAGCACGTCGCTGCCAAGTACTTGAGATATTTGCCTCTGCCTTTGACTTCAGCCTGCTTGGCCCACCTTCTCAACTGCTTCTTGGGCTTCGGTCTTAACTCGTCGCCTGTCGCCGAAGTCGATGAGGAGCTCCGCAAGGTGTTCAGCGATGCCGACTACAGCTTCGAGAAGGTCACTCCTGAAAGTTTGAGGGAAGCCATGCAGCAGGAGATCCTCCACCGCTTCAGATTTACTCTGGAGGATGGCTGGTACAACCAGCTCCAGCACGTCCAGATGCTCCGCGAGGTTTCCCAAAAGCTCGGTGTCCAGATTCAGAACAAGAAGTACGCTTTCGTCGCCACCGAGGGTGAGGCTGAGCCTGTTGCTGAGAAGCCTGTTGCCCCTGCTCCTGCCCCCGTTGAGGATGGCAACAAAAAGAAGAAGAAGAAGAAGGCTGCTCGTGAGACGTCCCCTGTGGCCGCCGCTCCTGTTGCGACCGTGCCCCACACCTTCAGCCCTGACGACTTTGTCAATGTTGTTCCTATTGTCAAGGACTCTACCCCCCGTAGCGCCCTTGCCGAGGAGGCTCTCGAGGCCGGCCGTCTCTCTATCTACCAGAACCAGAAGAAGCTCGGCGAGGACCTTCTCCTCGAGTCCCTCTCTCTGCATGAGCAGATCTATGGTCTCGTCCACCCCGAGGTTGCCCAGATGTACCATACCCTGTCACAGCTCTACTACCAGCTGGGCCAGAAGGATGCCGCTGTTGAGCTGTCCCGCAAGGCCGCCATCGTTGCCGAGCGTACCGTCGGCCTTGACTCCTCCGAGACCGTGTTGAACTACCTCAACCTCTCTCTTTTCCTCCACCAGCGTGGTGACAGTAAGGAGGCTCTCCTCTACGCCAGACATGCTCTTGATCTCTGGAAGGTCATCTATGGACCTGACCATCCCGATACGATCACCACCATGAACAACTACGCCGTCATGTTGCAGAGCATCAAGGCCTACCACGAGTCCCGCCGCTGGTTCGAGGAGTCCCTCCGTGTGTGCAACAAGGTCTTTGGCGAGCAGACCGTGCACTCCGCCACCCTCTTGTTCCAGCTTGCTCAGGCCCTTGCCCTCGACCAGGATGCTAAGAAGGCCGTCGACCGCATGCGCGAGAGTTACAACATCTTCAAGACCCTCCTGGGCCCTGAGGACAAGAACACCAAGGAGGCCGAGCACTGGCTTACTCAGCTCACTCACAATGCCGTGTCGGTCGCCAAGGCCACCAAGGAGCTCCAGGCTCGCCGCGCGAAGGGTAGTCTCGGCTTTAGCCCTCGCAACGCCACCGCTGGCGCGGCTGGTATCGGAAGTGTTGTGCCCAGCGCTGTCGGCGTTGACAACCGCAATATCGATGAGCTGGTCAAGTTTGTTGAGAACAGCGAGAAGAAGAAGGGCGGTAAGAAGTCCAAGGGACCCAGCAACCCTAAGAAGCGTGGCGGCAAGGCCTAAACGTGTTGACCCTGTCATGTCTCTGTGATCGATGGTACCATGACTGCCACGTCATTGCTCTTTGACTGAACTGTTACTTGATGTATATGATCATCCATTGTTATCCATCATCATCATCATCGAAGAAAAGTTAGGCACCGGATATGGCTGGCGTTCCTGGGCTTGTGGGGAACTTTTTTGGAATTCTCTTGGCTGGTTGGCGTCTTTTAAAAAGCACTCTGTATATACTTGTATTAACATATGATAAGGGCGGCCACGTGGAAAAGACTCAACAAGTCATGGAGATATCCTTGTATATGGAGAGCAATGTTTCAGAAACGGGAAAATAAAAGGGAAAGGCAGTACGTTAGAAGCATTTATAAAGCGGTCAAGAAGAGGAGGCAAGCATACAGACACACCCCACTTTTTTTTCTTTTTTTCTTAGAGTTTCCTATGTTTTTTTTTTTCATGATGGGATGAGCGAGCATCTAATTTTGAGTGCGTTCACGGAACCTCTGTATATAGAACGGCTCCGTTGGCTTGAACAAAATGCACCCACCTTTCAACTTCTCCCTCATGGCTCGGGGTTGTGTTAGTTGGGAAGGGCTGGTTGATGAACTTGCTTGTTCGCAGGATACATCAAACCGTGCACCAAGTGACTAAAGAGGGTCGAACAGCTGGTGGCAGCATGCGCTGGAGATCAAGGGCCAACATGCTGATCCAAGACGATACGTGAGAAGTGAAAGAAGAAAAAGGAGCATGGGAAGTTTGTTTACTTGCACAGTGTGTATGAATGATACGTCCGCTTCCCCCCTTTTTTGTCGTTCTCGGCACTACTATACTACTTTCGGGTGCTGTGCCGAATTGCCATTCCAGCGGTATAACGAAGACGAGCTCGAAAGCAACTGCCATATAAATTTGCCATCTCTTTCTTCAGAGCACAAGGCGACGAAGGCGATGATTGTGCGAAATGTGTAATTCGGGTTATGGAAATCTCCAAATTGTCACCAGAAGCCCCAACCTTAAACTTCCCATCCTAGCAAGCCCCGCCAACCCCCTAACAGCAGGGGGCACGCCCAAATCTGATCGAGGCTGGAGCTGCTCAGGTACCCGCCCCTGCCCCCCCAGACTGCCCAGCCATTTGCCATCCATTCCCGTCTGCCAAATTGACTTGCTAGTTGCCCATTGGAGTGCTGCGGAAGGAGACAGGACTGGACGGACGAAAGAGTCACGGTGTGGAAAAGACAGCTCTCAAACGGTGCTTCTTCGATGTCAAGTGTACTTACCCCCCTCTTCAACCCCCACCCCGGCCAAGAGAGAAGACAATCCATCATCGCTTCATTCGTCACCCCCCCTGATTGATGTAAACAAACCTTCGACAAGCGACCGAAGGATGCGTGGTGATTGCTTTGTTTGCGGTGTCTGGAAATGGCACGGGGCTTTGCTTGCATATTTCACCGGATATTGACAATACATTGATGTCAATGTTGGAGCAACATTTTGGTTTGCTTTAACTTTGTTGTTGCAACATAAGTCACCATTGGGGGGGGTGCATCCGAAAATCGAAGGAGGTCCGTTGTTGGCCACACTGCACCGAACGGCGTAAGGTTGCGTTGCGTTACTTCAGTTACTTACCTTGAAAGGAGTGATGACGAACAGAGTGGACGGAAGCTTGGACACGTGAATGCTCCACCTCTGCCCCGCTAAAATCCCAGTAATCTGACGCAGTCATTGGCCAGTGACCGGCCTGTGCCTGCTTCAATCCGCATTCTGCGCATGCCTCCCAATTGCGCACGCGAAAAACCTGGGATTTGGAGAAAGCGTCGCCGGGTCAATTAAACAAATCATTCTCACCTTTTTGCTGTGGTGTCGTAAAATACACTACAAAAAACCTCCTGCCTACTACAGTAGCTACCTACCTACTACCCAGAAACCCAGGGCCGCATTCGACCACTGCAACCTCTCTGCTCTCGAGTTGTACAGTGTCCAATCTTGAATACTTTGAGCCCGAGAAAAACTGATTTTCTTTCTTCTTACCCCCTCCACGACCGAGCTCACGCATCCAGCCAAAAGTTGAAGCTTCAAAGAAGGAAAGAAAGAAAGTGTTCCAAAATCGCCGCGCTGCTATCCATCAGTCTCACAGCGCCCTTTGACCACCCCGAGGCCCCCTTCCATTGTCTTCAACCAACTTGTTGACGTTGTCTGACTGCCCCGGCCTGCAGACATTGGTAATTGGAAGGTCCAAGGCTTGGCGGCCCCTTGCAGCATCTGCCATCAACGCAGGGGACTGGGGAACCGGTTCTAATCGATGGAACTTTGAAGTTCAATAAATTTGTCGCAATTGATCTTCGTCCACACTTCACGACCTTCATCGCCCGCAACAGCACGCACACGAATCCGGCACCTGCGCCGCCCTCCGATCTGGCAATATTGATTACGTCTGCCAACGTCGCCCTCCGCTACACCACCCGAACATTGGTCTCGGTAGATGCCTACCCACTTCCACCACCCGGGCCCCTGACACCTCTCTGTTTACTTACGACCTCCTCAACCCCTCCGATCCCCGAGCTCCATCAGACCTCTACCTCAAGCGCATGTGCTAGCGCTTTCGCCCACGCACACAATGCCGCCTTCACCACCGAAGCATACGGCGAGCTTCAACACTGCCGACCAGCAAAATCTCAGCGATCCAGTTACTGGAGACTCGTCGCCCTCACGGCCCTCGAAGCGTCGCAAGAAGGTAAGGCGCACCCTGCTCTCGCACATCCCTCTCCTTTGCCACGCTTTGTTACTTTCTTTGACTACCCCATAGGCTGCCTGATTCCCACTAACCACGCTCTTTTTTTTTTCTTCGCTGCAGGACGACGATGCGCCGACCGATCTCGCCGACGAGGCCGACTCGTCATTAGTTGCCGACCAGTCAGCTCTAGACATGAACGACGATGACCAGGTGGTGGCACGCGTGATACAGTATCTTGAGATGCCCAAGAATGTTCAGGCTAGCAAGGACCACTCCAACAGCATCCACGAGTCGAGCCAGGGCGTTCAGGCCTTTGCTAAAATCGCGGCCTTTGACTGGACCTACTACATCATGAGCCTCAATGTTAATATCGGTCGCTCCTCCGAACCTATACAAGCTACCGCCGGCCAGAGCCAGGAGGAAGACTCCAGCAAAGTGGTACACATCGACCTTGGCCCCAACAAGCAGGTTTCTCGCCAGCATGCTCTTATCTACTTCAAGTCTACAGAGGAGCAGTGGTGGTTGCGCGTCAAGGGCCGCAATGCGCTGAAGGTTGATGGTGTCCCGTGGAAAGTGGGTGATGAGGGGCCTCTGAGAAGTGGCGAGGTCATCGAGATTGGCGGTATGGAGATGATGTTTGTTCTGCCTGCCGATATTAGTGCTCTTCAAATCAAAAGGGACTATCTCGAGCGAGCCGGCATCGTTCCCCCAGACTCGCAGGTTTCTCCTCGCCAAGCTCGCCATCCCCTTCCCTCAGCAGGAGAATCGCATGCTTTTCAGGCCGTGTCTCCGACTAGCAAGGCCGCCCCCCGAAACCAAGGACCGCAGAAGGCATTGGCTCCAGCTCCTCCAGACTACAGGAGAGGCGTCACTCCTCCCCTTAACCTTCCCCGACCGCCGATGCACAGGACGGTTCACGAAGGTCTGGCAGGTCCGCTTGTCATGACCAACAACGAGGTAGATCTTAGTCTCGACGAAAACCAACACATCAAGCCACAGTTCAGCTATGCACAAATGATCACGCAGGCGATCATGAACACGGAAGACCAGAAGCTCAATCTCTCCGGCATCTATCAGTTCATCATGAACCGCTACTCATACTATAGGCATCAACCCGCTGGTGGCTGGCAGGTATGTTTCTCCAGCGGTTGCTGTACCCTCGCGCTTGGATAGCTGACAGACATGTTATTCCAGAACTCGATTCGACACAATCTTTCGTTGAACAAGTCATTCGAGAAGGTCGCAAGATCGACAGACGAGCCTGGCAAAGGCATGAAGTGGCAGATTGTTGCCGACGCCCGTGAAGACATGATACGCAATGCGTACCGAGGTGGTCGTGGTGGACATAGAGGCAACTCTAACCCAGCTTCTCCTAGCGGGCTGAATTACATCACGCAGGGTCCGAAGGACATGGCCGCCAAGGAGCCTGCGTCGTCTCGTAAGCGGAAGATTTCGCCTTCTGACTCGCCACAGCCACAACCGCACCCAACACTGCGCGACTCGCAATCAACGCCTGTGCGCGCCGCCCAGCGCAAACCTCTCCCTGACAAAGCAGAGGATGGTACCGAGGCTAGCCCGCTGTCGACGATCCGGAAGCCTGCGACAATGAGTACATTGGGGATAGTGGAGGATACGCCTGCATCGCCGACGTTGGGACCGTCGTACCTGCAGGAAGACGGTGCGTCTCTCGTTACGCCGGCTCCAAACCGAGTTAATCCCCGGCTTGTACCCCCCAGCACGGCCCAACGGCCTAGTCAACACATGCCGACTAGCTCACCCGCCCCGTTCTGGAGATATGCCGATATTTCAAGTACGCCGCTAAAGCCTGCTCAGTACGACGCCAGCCCCTCCAAGACACATGGGAATCTGCCATCGCAGAGCAGCAGCCCCCCACCACCGGCGCGGAGTAAGTCGCCTGCCGGGAGTGCAAGTCCGACGAGAACAACCAGCCGGGGCGCCACGGTCGGCGTAGAAGAACCCCCGAGCCCTGCCGAGGAGGAGGAGGACCGGGCTTTTGATCTTACAAAGTAAGTGCAACTCTCGACTCTAGTGATTCGTCTGGCCAAATATACTAAATCTTTACGTTCTTAGGGGATTTCAAAGCATCGGTAGTTATCATGCTCCTGTCAGTCGTGGCAAGGAGGTTCAGCCGGCTGGAAATGGCGATGTGCCCTCTATGGCGCCACTGAGCTCTTAAAAGGGTATGGAGCCGAGACTGCAGCTACAATACCTATGTCGCGATATATACAAGAACGCGGCTAGGGCCATTTACGCATTATTTTAGTGGGCTTCTATTCACACATTTTGCATCATCATCCTTCTCTTCAGTTCTTCCTTGTCGTTTGCGGTATGAATTTATCATCATTAATCCAAGTTTAAGTTTTTTTTTTTTTTTTTTTTTCCTTTTCCCCCGGGGTATTCGTTACGTGGTATTAATTCCTTAGTTCGTGTCTTGTGTGATACCACAAGGGATGGTTGGACTCGATAATCTCAATTTTAAGGAAAGCTTAATAGCTTCCTGCTTTCAGGGCAAATGATTCTCTTTTTTGTCATTCTTGTTCTGCTTCTTACGTCTAAGTTGTATTATTTCACTGGTTCTGAATGCGGGCAATGGTTTGAGTGCAGCAGGAACAAAACAAAAATGGGAGTAAAGGAAGACTGGATGGCCGAAAGCTGGGAAACATCGAGTCACAATGTTGCATTTCTCATCTTTTCCACCAAATTGGGTCGGGTCAGGTCACGTCAGTTCAAGATCGTTCTGCACAGGGGTCATTATCTTTTTCGGCATCGCTGCTAGCTACTCCACGGTGTTTCTGTCGGTGGTCTAGTTGATTTTCATATCGATATCCCAAGGTTGCGTTCTATTTTGTTCTTCGTTTGGGTCCAGGGTCTTTGTATTTCTTGCGTCCCGGTTGTTCTTTTCCAATATCGTGAATGCGGGTGCATATCAGGGAGGCCAGGCAGATGTGTTTGGGCAGATCAGAAACCAAGAGGATGGATGTATAGACACACATATGGGTAGCACGGGGCGCTTGGTTGAGAAATTCAAGGATGCTATGATGGAAGAAAGTGGCCCTGGGAATGTCGGCACTTATAGTGACTCACATTGCACACAACGAAGGTTCTAAATCAGCGAAGGATTTCCATCAAAACCTCGCAGAGCCGTAGCACTAACTAGCCAGTAGCTGGTCGATATCAATCAGACGACTATCTAATAGAATATACTCCGCATGTATAAGTCTTTACCCTCTTGTTTGTTTCCAGTTATGCCTAACATAACTGAAGTCGTCGATCAATGGGGTTTTAAAGAAACATTGGACCAGCAGTTAGGTCAAACAATCATGGACACGGTCAATCGTTCCATGATACGGATGTCGACTGCTCTTAAATGCTTCGGATTGAGTACCTTGTATGCTCTCAACCATCCCAGAATAAAAAGCCTTCACTACATAGTCGTAGATGTCAAGTATATACATATTTACGCGCCGTGGCTTTAGACTTGCCTTGAGCGAACGAATGCCGTCCCTGACGAAACGGGAGAAGGTCCAACCAGCATATTGGAAAAATACAAGACAGTCTCACTGAGAAGTACATTGCCAGGTTGACATTGTGGGTAGGTATGCTTCGTTTTCATGTTTGGTTCTCAAGGATCGGCCCCGGCCTCAGGGACTTTTGAGTTTGAGTACAGGGCTGGGACGGTAAGGCACTTGATGATGATTGGGAAAATCGTTTATAGGGCGTAAATTCGAAATTCTCGACTATAGCTCTCTTTGGGGTCGTTTAATGTCGACTACAATAATAACATGTGTGTTGTTGTTGTTGCTTGAAGTTATTGTTATGACAATATCTCAACAGCTTGTAGAAAACCCGGCAGTTTCTTCCCCTTCTGGCTGCAGTGTACCAAATCGTGTGGAATTTCTTAATCATTTAGTATTTTGTGACTGAATATCCTGGGTACAACTTCTCACCCGCTCCTTCCCTAATCCATAAACATGCACATCTGCCACCAGGACATGTAACCTCCCGTCTAACGTTGGCCGAGACTTTGAGTCACCCTTCTCGAAAAAGGTCAACGGCTTTCTCTTTTTTTTTTTTTTTTTTTTTTTTTTTTTTTTTTTTTTTTTTCCCCTGCCGTTGATGCCGCGCTTAATTGGCTTTATATGCAACCTAAAAAAGCACTGCACATATCATCCTTCCACTCGCGGTTCGAGTGTCCCGCGCCCTACCATCCCTCAGCCTATTCAGTTCTGCCAGACCTGCATTAGGGAATGGGGACGGGATTCAGTAGAGTTTTCCGTCAGCCGCTAAGGCCGAAGTATCCCGCATGGACAAGGAACATTGGTTGTCAATTTCGAATGGTTTACTATCCGCAGAAGGGACGACCCTGCTTTTGATTATCACTCCTTCCGGCTCTGGAAGACTTGTTCCTTCCTTGCTCCTTGGCTTTTCGAATTTATGCTTCGATTCTTCAAACTGCGTCTATCCGGCTAGGCTCGTTATGCTGCCCGGCCTTACGCGTCTCGTTCATCAGTCCGTCAGACAGATGCAACTACGGCGGAAGAGATTTATGGATAGATCACAGGTAACGTACATGCTCATTAGTCGACATTATCTACAATCAATTATGGAAGGAAGACTGCCCGGCCTTGCTGTTGCCAAAAGTAGATTCTCCCTCGTCGAGCATCGCGGGCCGGGAGAAAACTGCACATGTACCTTTCACAATGTGGGATACAACTCCAGCACTGATCACTTAAAGTGGTCAAGGTAAATCAAAGCCATGAACTCCTCACCCATTCTCAACGAATCTACCTCAATGGGCAGCCCATCACGAGGTCTCATCCATTCTCAGGACAAACTTTACCTTGACCACAGACTAGGCTTGGGAAGACGGTTGAGAGTGAATTTGAGAAACTTGGTGCAACCTGAGAAGGGAGTAAAAAAAGAGCCGCACGTTGACATCAGTTTAGGGTCACTGTTCCTATGTTCATAACTGAATTTGGAGGCAGCTGCATGGATGGAACCAAGTCATACACAAAGACAGCGAGGTTGACGGAAACATAAGTTATGGCCTGCATTATTTTCTCTCGGTCACAAAATCCGAATGCCAAACAATCGCTGAGGGTACCGCTGTTACGTGGAATGTATAAGTCACATCGTTCGTGCCCCATTGCTCTAAATCGACCCTGGATGGGCCAGGCAAAAGAGACTATGCAAAGACATTGTCAATCAACTTTGAAGGAATACCTCGTCAACTCCTATCCTTTGAGCGCATATTAACATACAAGTGGAGCCCCAAGGCTAGCTGAAGACTGCTCTAATACTGTGAGTCTTGAATCCCTCCTCCTCTAGTTGTAAAGATCATCATCGTTGCCAGCATCACCAAACGAGTTACCAGCACCGCCGTTGCCGCTGCTCTCAACACCACCCTCAGGGAATTTGAAGAAGGCACCCGGGCCAGCGTTCTTCATCTGCTGGGAGAAAGCCTCATAGCGACGGATTTCGACGTCACTGACGGAGCGACGAGCCATCGACATGGCCTCCTCGAAGTGGCGCTTGGTGAGCTCAGGAACGGGGTCCTCAACCTCATCCTCCATCTCGACATCCTCGCCAGCGGCCTCGCGCTCCTTAGTGCGCTGAATATCGGCGGTGATAGACTCCTTGATGGCGATCTTGACAGCACGCTGGGTGATGAAGCCAAGATCGGCACCAGAGAAGCCGTGGGTCTTGGAAGCGATGTAGTTCAGGTCAACATCGGCAGCGACAGGGGTCTTGCGGAGCTGAGCCTTGAGAATACCGAGACGACCCGCCTCATCAGGAAGGGGAACGTAGATGAGGGAGTCGAGACGGCCGGGACGGCAGAGTGCGGGGTCGAGCTGCTCGGGACGGTTAGTAGCACCAATAACGAAAACATTCTTCTTGGAGGTCATGCCGTCCATTTCTATAGCTCAGGTTAGTATGCACAGCAGAATGGCACAAATCAAGGAAGAATCAACTTACCGGTAAGAAGCTGGTTAACAACACGGTCAGAAGCGCCACCAGCATCACCAACAGAGCCACCACGGGCCTTGGCAATAGAATCCAACTCGTCGAGGAAGACGACACAAGGAGCAGCAGCGCGAGCCTTGTCGAAGATATCACGGATGTTGCTCTCAGACTCACCGAACCACATAGAAAGCAGTTCAGGACCCTTGACGGAAATGAAGTTGGCTGCGCACTCGTTGGCAACAGCCTTGGCCAACATTGTCTTACCGGTACCAGGAGGACCGTAGAAAAGAACACCGCGAGATGGCGAAAGGCCAAACTTGAGGAACTTTTCGGGATGGTCGACGGGGTACTGGACACTCTCCCTGAGCTCCTGCTTGACAGTCTCGAGACCACCGATATCCTCCCAACGGACGTTGGGAACCTCGACAACGGCAACCTCGCGAAGAGCCGAGGGGTTGGAGACACCGAGAGCAAAGCGGAAGTTCTCTTGGGTAACACCAAGAGAGTCAAGGACCTCGGCGTCGATAGTGTCTTCGTCCAGATCGATGAGATCCATCTTCTCACGAATCTGCTGCATGGCAGCCTCGGAGCAGAGGGCAGCAATATCAGAACCAACGTAACCGTGGGTCTCAGCAGCAATCTGCTCAAGATCGACGTCATCGGCAAGCTTCATGTTCTTGGTGTGGATCTGGAGAATCTCAAGACGGCCGGTAGGGTCGGGGATGCCGATATCGACCTCACGATCGAAACGGCCGAAACGACGGAGAGCGGGATCGATCGAGTTGGGACGGTTGGTGGCAGCCATAACAACAACGTTGGAACGGGCCTTCATACCATCCATGAGAGTAAGAAGCTGGGAGACAACGCGGCGCTCAACCTCGCCGTTGGTCTTCTCACGCTTGGGGGCGATCGAGTCAATCTCATCAATGAAGATGATAGCGGGCGAGTTCTTCTCAGCCTCCTCGAAAGCCTTGCGCAGATTCGACTCGGATTCACCGGCCATCTTGGACATGATCTCAGGGCCGTTGATCAAGAAGAAAAAGGCACCAGTCTCGTTGGCAACAGCGCGAGCCATCAAAGTCTTACCGGTACCAGGAGGGCCATAAAGCAGGACACCACGGGGTGGCTTGATACCAATGGACTTGAAAAGCTGAGGATGCCTGAGGGGCAGCTCAACCATTTCGCGGATCTGAGCCATCTGCTTACGGCAGCCACCAATATCATCGTAACCAACCTCGTTGAGGTTGTTCTCCTCCTCGTCACGCTGGATGGGCTCGCCCTCGCAGTGGATGACGGTATCCTGAGCGACAATACCATACTCTGGTGGGTCCACCTCGACGACCTTGAACTCGACTTGCCTCATACCACCGCGGACAATAAAGAGATCGCCTTGCCTGACAGGGCGGTAGGCCTCGCGGAAGTAGGGAGCAAGGAAGACGTCGAAGAGGGATCCGGTGATGCCCTCAACGGTATCGGCGATCGGAAGGACGGCTATACGCTTGGCCTACAAGGAGATGCATGTGTCAGCAAGGTGCCCATTCCATGACTAGGTGACCGGGTTATAGACTAACATATTTGATATCGGGACAAGGGTGAATGGTGATGATGTCGCCGTGCTTGACACGGAGGTTGTGGCGAACGACACGGTTGAGGCGTGCGCTGCCATCATCAAGATCGTCATCGGCAAGGACAATCAAGACGGTGTCCTTTCTCTTCTTTCCACGGACGAGAACGGTATCACCACGGAAGAGCTGGAGCTGCTCCATGGTGTTGTTGGAGAGGGCGATAATCGAGTTATCATCGTTGACGGCGTCAGTAACCCTGCATATGTGTCAGCTCAGGTTGCAGTGCCCCGCATCTTCAACGTCAACCTACATCAACTGGTTGGGCTTCTTCTTCTTCTTGAGAATAGCAGTGGCGGTATCATCTTCCTGTTCCATCGGTCAGCACGAGTGGTTCTCGAGATGTCTTTGGCGGGCAAGCGAGGTTGAACATACGGCCTTGTGCTCGGCACCAGAAGCGTCCCTGTTTGGCTTCAAGTCAGCTTGGCGTCATTCGCGATGAGGGGGCGCGACAGCTTCGAGAGCTCCCGCGATCAGGGTCGCTGCTTCACGTACATCAAGTTGACCTTCTTCTTCTGCTCGACGTGGTCGGGATTGGGTTCGGGAGCCATCTTGACGTTTGTGTTGAGAATCAGTAGAATAAATGTGGTATTTGGGTATCGCGGACGGTGATGCTAATCCACGGAGAGGATGTAGCGGGAAGAAGTGGTTTTGGAGAAAGAAAAAAACCAGAATTCGTAGCCTCAAGACCCGCTGATAAAGGGATCCTTTGGAGGTTGAACGGCAAGGTGAAGGTGAATGGTGTTGGGATGGAAACAAAAAAAAAGGACCAGTCGGAGGGACGAAGTGCCTTTGCGTTTTGGTGTTGGAGTTGGTTTCGTTTACGTTCAGGTTGTCACGGCCATGGAAAGGACGGTTCGAGCCAAAGCAAGCAAGCACCGCTGCACCGGCGAGTGGCACCGACCGCTTGCTCCCTCCAAGGCCAGCCAACCAGGGGCAAGCAGCTGGTGGCCAGCAGCTGGGAGCGGCAACAGCAACAGCATCTGATTCAACTGTCAGTGTCACTGACTGACAAACCGCCCCGCCAGGCGACCATTTGGATGACGAAGTATGAGCGGAGCCTTTTCTGGGGCGACAAAGGTCCGTGCTTTTCGCCCATAGGTACCTCTACACTTCCATTCTGCCACTCTGTCTGCTTGCCCTGGCTGTTCCGGGCTCCAGGCACGCCTTCTGCCATCGCTCCGAGGATCTTCAGGTCGCCCGACACACCTGGTAAAGCAACGGTGCGGCCGGAACCTTCGAATGCGTTCTACAAACCTGCTGACAGATCAAAGCTTCATCTTGTTTGACTTGGGGTTCGTTCCATTTCTTCAGTTCGAGATTTACAGTGAAGCGAGGTTCGGATGCTGCAGCACCGCTCGAGCACCGATGTCTAGATGGCCAGGCTGTCAGGTCTCTCAAGGAAGACATGCTGGGACTTCCTATTTGCCCCTCCCCCGCAGTACGGACAACAAGGCGGTCAGTGGTTGTCGCATGCACCACCGGATGGCCTGTACAGATGCCACAGGCCAACGATGCTGCTAGGTAGGTATCACAGAGAACGAAATGGGACAGGACAACACGCGGAAAGTTGGCAGGCTGCAACTGTCGTCTTATCGAGATTCGAGAGAGTCCGTTTGTCCGAACGTCGCAGGAACCCGCATGCCACTTTGGGTGGAGCAAGCGAGTGACATTTGAGCTTTGCGGCCAAAGGAGAGCAAACGACGACCCTCGACCCGACCGAGAACCGGGTCATCAGGGGTTGTAGGACACGTCCCCGCCCGTGCTTGTACGAGGCGCGCGCCGGCCGTCCGGCTCCGCCCTGGCAAGCCGATACCCAGTACGTCCCGGAGTCTCTCCCCGGGCTGCTCGGCGCCCGGCTGGAAGAAGGCCGGGCTAGAAGCCAGGGAGCTCGGTACCCTTGTAACGTACTACATACATTAGTGTAGTACCATGGGTGTTAGCTACCCCGCTGTAGTGTACATGGTGACCCCGAAAGACGCTGCGGCGCGCCGCCCACCTGGCCATTCAGGGTCCAAAGGGGCCTCGAGGTCCCGTAGTCCGATGCCTCCACGATCCGGATCCGATATACCATAACTACCTACTATACAACATGCATTGAGCCGAAATGGGGTTGGAGCTCGGAGGATTTGGCCCTTCCTTTCAGGCAACAGAATAATAATCAAACCAGCCTGGACTTCAACGACATTCACCCTCGTGGAGTCAGTGTGTGCAAGGCTTGGCAGTTTTCCGGGCACAGCTCGTTAGACATGAGGACTACATATATTCAGTCAACTACACCCGGCCCTCTGCCTTCCAGCCCAACGTGCCCCTACCCACCCCAGTCACGAGGTACCCGGGAGCCTGATTGAGTTTTGATACTCTTGCTAAACATAGGACTTCGTCAAACTCAGGACAAGACCACCCTTGTGTACCTCTGTCAACGGATTTGAGCTCAGAATATCACCGAGGCAGCGTCGATATGGAAGACGTGACAACATTCAACACCAACTGCCTTCAGCTAAATAACGAAGGCTTTAGAGATGCATCTACTGCAAAGTTACGTAAGGAAGCGCAATGCTCTCTGGATGTGTTGATGGATATATATGTGAAGCCCATTTCCTCGGCATCATGTCCCGGACGAACAGCCAAACATGTTGAGTTCACGGATAATAGGGGCGTAGAATCAACCGAACGTTCGAAGTTTCTATTGTCTACAGAACCTTGGCTCCGTACATCGGCTCGCCTTGCCCCATCCCTCCTGCCTCGAGCCTCGTTCACCTCGTCACTGCATCATTTTTCAATTTTAGTAGGTTATGGTACATTTGAATTCCCATCCCCTTATCTCCGCCCCTTCGAAACCAAGTAAGGTACCAATTCTCTCCCGCTTTCAAGCAGACATGAAGCCAAATTCTGCTGCCTGTTACTGTTTTGTAGCCATTCGATGGACTTCAATGGTCCCATAAGCGCCGTTCCTGTCTGATATCACAGTTTTAAGAAGGCAGAGGGGCTGAATGATTTCTACTGACTGAACGGATGTAACTACGTCCGGTCTGTGGCGTATGGGGATCTGATACCAATCTGGCTCGCTTGGATGGGGCACTAGGGAGACGAGGACTGAATCGTACGAGTGGCAAGAACTCCAGGGGTAGAGTAGAAGCCAGGCACAGTAGAGATAGGGTAAAGCGCAGTATGAGTAATGTGAAAGGGTGTAGTGGTGACGTGGTGATGAACAGTTATTCGAGCTCGCTGTTGAAGTTTAAAATGTTTGTTTATTAGATTTACTCAAGTACAGGAGACAGGGAAAGGCATGGTACGTATGATGCATGAGCGGATGCCTGTGACACGGCTCTGTTTTCTCCAAATGCTCTGCCTAATATATCCAGAGACGACCTTAGTCTGCTCTTCATGTGCATGTCAGTAAGAACAGTTCTAGGTAGGTTGTCAGACATTCAGCTGAGTTAACGCCACACAAGTGTCCTGCCTCTCTCTCTCTCTGATTGTTATGTAGACGTCTTAATGTTTTCAACGGGTAAGGAAAGGACAGGGACACTACCGATTTTACCTTGCTGCCTTGAGCCATCAAGAGTAGCTTTCAAATAGGAAGTATCAACTGCTGGTGGTCTCGTTCTACCTTGAATTTCTTTGGGAGAAGAGAGGGACGCTTTTTTTAAGGACCGCGTCCGGCACCACTTCAACGTTTCTCGTCATTTCCCGTTGCCACACCATCTGTCCCCTAGACGCGCGCTTAAATCCAAGAGGTATATGTAAAAGAGCACGTTTTCGTGAAGATGAGTTGGTGTATTGATGTGCTTTGCCCTATCACATCATCAAGTAAGTAGTATGTGGGCGTTTTTAGTATGTAGGATGTTCACCCAGTTCGGCAACGGCAGCCCTACGGCGTCTATTCTGGTCGGACTGAAATTATCTTGCTCCCTTTATGGATATCAGACGCGCGTATGTGTATCCAGGAGCCTAGCAGGTTGTGGGAAACGGTGAAAGGGTTGTATATAGATGGGGAAAACGTGAGTGGTTGCACGGTGGGTGAGTGGAGAGGAAAAAAGTCCGAGGTGCTCGCACTTCAACACAAGTGGGACTGGGACAGGACCAGTCTTTCTACTCCCGCGTGGTGCCGCAAACATACTATACAGTAAATACAAAGCTACGCTATCAATTCTGCCAATTGGCCAAAGAGCCCGCCATTCCATCAGCAGAATAGTATCGCTCCTGACCAGGTTTGGCGGTGTGGGGCAGGGCGAGACGAATGTCGTGTGAAAGCTGAACCTGCTCAGAATGAAGAGCTTGGGGGAAATGATGGTCGCGGTACGTAACTGTACCAGTATTGTTCGTGTTGTCATAGGGGGTGTAGTTCACATTCATGTTGCCATACAGAAAGGCTGTTCCCATCTGATTTTGCTTTGCTGGAGCTTGCTAGTGGTTCGAAGCTGCCGCCCCGCATAGCGATGATGGACCGTCAAAGGAGGCACAAGGCAATCGCTTTCAGCCTCAAAACACTTCACGAGGCATCTACACACCGTCAAAACAGAGTTATGCCCCCAAATCAGACTTGAATTATGCGTAAAGCTGAGGCCGTGTCGCGCCTAGCGAGTCGTTCAATTTCTTTCTTGATGAAATTCGACAAATATCTTGCTTCGAGGCAGGCCTTGTATGTTTCAAGGTACAATTAGAGAATTAGATGGCCGCTTGTGTCTCATCTTCGAGAATATTTTCCAGATCGTTCAGCGTTACCCAACTTTTGTAGGAAATGGTGCTTGATGGCATGGCCTTTGAGTCAGACTGTCAGTAACTAGACAATGTGGTGTCTCTAGACCAAACTGAGAGATATCTTCACTTCATATTCCATATAGAGGGACCTTAAACTGCTGCGGTTGCTGAACAGAGACAATGAAGACACTGGTGGACGAGGATGGAACTCGTAGACGGAGTGGTTCGGAAGACGGAACACGGAATACGGAGGGGCGGTGTGGCTAACAGTGCCGATTCACCGGAGGGGGGCTTTGACGTGACACTGCTGCCGTCACTGTGACCACTCAGCCGGGTTCAGACGCAGAATCAATGCAAAATTTAGAAGAAAGAAGGCGAGTTATAATATTGCTGCCCAGTGGGACGGCTTGCTTCTAAAAAACTCACGTATGTAACTGTGATAAGCGTACTTTAATCAGGTGTAAAGCCATATAACCCAGTGCGTGCACCACGTTGGACAAAGGGCGCGTTATGTACCGTAGAATCCCGGGGGATAGCTTTTCAACTTCCAGGGAGATCAGGCATAATCAGACATACATATGCCCGATTCGGTACATTTCATGCCTTCAAAAAAGAGTGGGGGAGACGTGTCGCCATCCCAAAGCACTGTAAATTCGATTCCTCTGGAGCTCTGCCTTTTCCCACCTATTTCTTCAATTAAGCTGGAGGGTAGAGATATTTAGAATCACCGTTTTACATAGAATTTCTGGTGGGCATCAATGTTGCAGTATGCTTGCAGGCCCTGCCTGATTTCCCTGGAAGTTGAAAAGCTATCCCCCGGAATTCTACGGTAGCCTGCCGCGTAGTTTAAGCAGAACCGTGCATTCAAGGTTGCATGGTCTCATCTGTCGACAAGTTGAAGTACGACGGTGCTGGAAGTCGGGCGGGACAGATACTGGACCAATGTCCATGAGACAGATTGGATAACAGCCGGGTCATCACAACTCTGTCATGCCTGGTGGTATAATTTCTCTCAGGTCGGTTTGCGAGGATCTGTTAACCGTAAAATCTTTCAAGGTGAACATGGAACTGTCATCCTGGTTGCTCTGTTTATAGTCGT